GGCAGAGGAACCTGTTTAAAATTTTAAAAATAAAAACTGATGCAAGGTCATTAACTTCAGAAAAAGAAAGAACAGCATTGCAGATTTTAATACTCGAACAGCAATAAAACAATAGACTTTACATCAAATAAAAAATTTCTCTCCTTCAGAAAATGAAAAATGATAAATAACAAAGAATATTAACAAGCAAAAATCAAATCAGATTCTGCTTATCTTGCTTGCACCCACATCTTCACGGTCAACCAAGTCTTGAATACGGCCTCCATTAGCCCATATTCTGTCTACTATACCAAGAACCCTTTTTATTTATCCTCTATTTGGTATTTCCTAGTGTATACAGGGCCTGATGCACAACAAATAGAAGAACCATTGGAACAAAGCAGAGGCTCTAATGAAGTGATATAAAGTTTGTGAATAACAATAATTTATCAACCTAGTTTTCATATTAAAAGAAAATGTAAAGAACAAATTTCTAATCCTTAAAAGTGCACAACATAGAGGTAAACAATAAAAATCACAGGGATTTCAAACCTCAAAAACAGGCTCTAATTGTTTCCTTGGAGTTCTTCTAACAGTTTCACGTTGCTGTTTTGCTCCATGTGTTCGCATGACATATGATGGCAAAAACAAATATGCACCTTGGTCATACCTGCCAAAATATCATAAAATTTATCAGAGATACCAGTTAATAGGAACTGAATAAGTGAAATATTTATGTTTAGAGAGCAGCCCTTTCATTAAGATATTTAAATAAGCTTGAACAAGTTAGAACCAAGCTGTCAATATTTCTGAAGGATTGGGGAGGGGGATCAATAGAAGCAGGGGAAAATAAACTGTACAAAGATAGAACCTTGAGTTCATACCCTGTCCAGTTTTGAGGAGGCACTAACATTGGCATATAAGGAATGACCATGTGCCTAGCCTGGTTGCACAAGCAGAGATTAGTTCATCCATATACCCCAACAATAAAGATTTATTCCAGGGGAAATTATTTATGAACGGCATGTTTGTTAAGCACCATTTGTTAAAGATGATTGTTATTCCACTTACAGTTTTCTCAAGCCCTTTGCGAACCAGTGGATCACATTCAATAACACCATATCTCTTACTGCCTTTGCTGATGAAGCATAAACACAAAAATAAATACTCTGATGTGAGTTATGCATGAATGAGTGAGAAGTGAAAAGTGAGAGAGAGAGAGAGAGTGAGAGAGAAATTGAAGTAGTTACTCACTTCCCATCTTTGCTGACAGTTTTTAGAGAATGTAAAAATGCAGGGCGAATTTCAGGTGGGCCATCTCCTAACTGATCAACTGGTGGTTGTATATAGGCTTTTTCCATCAATAACTGAATCAGACGACAGCCAACCTATAGAGGGCTACACCAGGATATAACTTTACAAACAGACCAAAACCAGAACAGATTTCAACATTTTACAACTGCAAACATTACATACCTTAACTTGTGCCTTCTGACCCCAAGGCTTTGAAGTATCATGCCCCTCCACTATTTCCCTCACCTGACGCACCTTTTGCTTTTTCATCAACTGAGTCACCTTTTTCCTCAGTTTTTCCTGGCCTTTGGCCAGTTTCTCTTGTTCATTGGTCACAGGTTCAGATTCAGCATCAGGTTTTTCATCTGTTTTGTTCTTCTTCTTTCTCTTATCCAAGAACTTTTGTATCCTTGCCTGATCCCCACAGGAAACAACCATAAATAAGTTCTCATCAAGAAATAGCAATAAATGATCCTTGAGAATAAGACAAAAATCTGTGATATAAATATAAAATAATCATCTCTATCTTTCATCTTTAAGTAAAAAAAAAAAAAGAAACAAAAAATCCATGTCAATAAAATGTTACATCAAAGAGAATCCAAAACTTCATAGTTTTGATGTATCCCCAACTTGCTTTGACAATAATCAATTCCTCTAATAAAAACCCTTAAAGGGAAAAAATGCAAAGCATAAATTGCTCTGGAGAGATGTACTTTTTACACCCTACTTAAGTTGCCTGAATCTATATCATCGAGAAATTCACAAATTCTATCTGGTGAAGCAGAAAACAGAATTTTGCTAATAATCTTAACTCCTAATTAATTTCCACAGTGAACTGTCCTAAGAAAGACAAAAACTATTCGAATGTTACCAATCACCATTTTAACTTTTAGAAATTATACCACCAATCACAATACTGAATCTATAAGTAAGTTCTACTTTACTAACATATGGATATTTCTAACAATAGAATACTATAAACTCCAGCAATAATGTTATATAATATATATATATATATATATAATACATAATCATGTTATCAACCCAAAAACTTTAACAAAAGCTCACAGTTTTCATAAATTGGTTCCCCCCCCCCCCCCAACACACACACACACACACACACACACACACACATATATATATATATATATATCAAAATCACATAATCCTCCAGATTTTTATGTTAAGAAAAAAAACTCACTGAGCCTGATGCAGCCAACCCAAGAAAATGAAAAATGGTCCAATTTAAACATTTATACCCTTCTCACCTCATGTTCAATGGCTTCACCAATCTGGGAAGCAGCTTGGACTACCCTAATACCCCCAGTTTCACCGCTACCAGTCATCAACAACCCCATTAATTTGTGCATGGTAACAACCGCCATCATATCCGCTGACAACTCGTTAAAAGGATTTATCTTGGAATTTCCTTTGCACAACTCTTGCTCAGCGGCAATAGAATCTCTCAAAGGCTCAAACCAACCAAGAAACAATGACTTAATATAAGGCAAATTCGGAGCAAGCTTTTGCTCACACATATCCGTTAGTAATTCTTGGTACTCTTTAGCTGCCTCTTCCCATGCCTCAGTCTCTTATCTTTTTATTTGCCTATTCTTTAAAGTATTGTACTTTTTAACCCCCACTCCTACTACCATTTGCTTGGGTTGCTTTGAAGAAGACTCTTTCTTCTCTTCTCTGCTTATTGCTTCCATTAATTCATGGGTTTCTTCAGACCCAGAAAGGTCCTCTTCGGTAGAAATAACAGCCTCAGCAGCATTTGCATACCCTTTCAAATCCCAAACTTTCACAGAAAAACTTAAAGAGTTACCTGATTGAGACAAACTGAATCTGCAGAAATCATCCCTTTGCAAAGAAAAGACACCATTTTGACCAAAACCCAGAACCGCACCCATAAAGACCACTGCTTTTGGCCTTGGAAGGTCCGAAATCATTGGAAAAACTGAATCCTGAGAAAACCCTGTAGAACAACACTTCGAAATTGAGGAAGCATACTGTTCAGGGAAAAAACTAAACTTTTTTCTGTTGGAAGCTTGTTTCACTAAGCTTCTCCACATACTTGAGCTATCTTCTTTTTGTATACAATAAATTGCTCCAACCCAAAACTGAAAGATACAATAATTGGAAGCGTCTCAAGGATTTTCCTTCTCTTTTTCTATGAAAACATAGGAAATATGTGAAAAAGTGAGAAAGACAACCTGTGCTGTCTGTGTATTTTGTTTATAAACATCCCATGGGTTTACTAACCCACCCGTTTCTTTTATTTGGTTTATCTGATAATCCGTTGCCCATAATAAGGGTGTAAATGATAAATAATTGGACTCAGGTAGGATAAAAATCAAATTCCATTAGGTCATTGGTGAGTTAATATTGAATTTGAGTAATTTGATTTATTAAGTGAGATAAATTTAAATATTTTAATATTTAATTTGAATAATTTATAAATTTAATTAAAATTTTAAATTTTATATATTTATATTATTTTAATTAAAAAATTATTATTTTACAATATATATATATGTATATATATTAATTCGAGTTCGATTGAATTTGAATACATAATTAAATTTAAAATTAAACATAAAAATTAAATTTACTTTTATTAAATGAATTTAGTCAAATAAATTTAAATAATTTAATTTTTATTTTGAATTAAATTGAATTTAAAAATTATAATTTAATCAAATTTAAATTTAAATAATAAATTTTGATTTAAATTTAAACTTTTCATTATATTAATTCAACTCAATTTAATTACACTGAAAGCTTCAACAAAAAGTTACAATATCAAAAATTTATATTAAACTCATATATTGTACCTTAAAATTTTTTTATTACAATGAAAACTCATATAAAACCGTTATTAAGTCAATCAACTTTCATAGGCAAATTAAAGGCTTTTAACGGCTATAAATTTTTTTTTATCGATAATTATAGTTCTATAACCCACCTTTTATTTTCAAAACGAATTATGAGCGAATTCAAATGTTCTTTTATAGGTTACCAAGATGGTTAAAAAATCAAATACTTTTATATTTATTATTATTTTTACAAAATAGAAAAAAAGATTTTGTTTTAAATTGTATTCTTAATATTTTTCATAATTATCAAGACTATCCTTAAATATGAAATAAATTCCCTCTAAATTTTTTGTGGACACATTTATTTGAAAATTTCAATTTTAAAATTTTTAGTTCGAGTCTTGAAAAAAAAATTTGTAAAATAAAAAAATTTTATTTTTTATTAAGTCAAAATCATATGTATAAAAAAAATTATAATAATTAATCTGGACACATTTGATATAGCTAATTAAATGATTTCAACTATAAGTAAAATTTTTCTTTCTAGCTTGACTACAAGAAGTGTAGAGTTGATTCGAATTTAAAAAATTTATATAATTCCAATTCGTTTTGATTTGAAAAAAAAAAATCAAAACATTTTAACTCAAATTCAAAATGATAATTCCAATGAAAAATTAATTTTAAATGATACAAACTTTAAATTAATTTGATCTTAATAAAATACTATAAATTAAATTTAATGATTCATATATTTATATCATATAAAATATTAAAATTTATATATTTATATAAAATTACATATCATAATTAATATCGATATAAAAAATACAAAATATTTATTTTTAATTTTATTAAATTTATATATAATTATTATTAAATCTTTAAACTATATATATATATATATATATATTTTCATATCATGTTCCTAATCGATTCGGATCGATAACATATTTAGCTAATCAATTTACGCAATTCCCCAACAAGCCTAACCAAATTGTTGACAGAGCTTCCCCCATTAGTCACAGCTTGCAATGCCTTTTCCTTCAACACTTTAGCCCTCTCCTTCACTCCAGCCCCCTCACGCATCGACACACCAATGATGCGACCAAGCTCATCCGAGTTAGGAACCGAGTCGGCACCCTCACACACCTTAACGCCCACACCCATGTCCTCAACCAAGAGCCTTGCATTCACAAACTGGTCAGCCTCCATAGGCCAAGCCAATATCATGACCCCACCCACGATCCCTTCCAACACCGAGTTCCACCCACAATGACTCAGAAATCCACCCACCGCTTTGTGGCTTAGTATCATCACCTGCGGGGCCCATTCCGTTATCACCACACCCCGACCCGCCACCCGCTCTTCAAACCCATCGGGCACAACCCCAAACCCATCTTCTTGCTCTCGGGTCGTACCCGTTTTCACCACCCAAATAAAGCGGGTACCACACTTTTCAAGCCCAACAGCCAATGCTTCCATTTGCTCTCTTTTCAACATCTTTTGACTCCCAAAACAAACGTAGACAACAGACCCTTCTTGGCATCCATCGAGCCAAGTCAGTACCCGGTCATTCGGGTTAGACCCGGAACCCAAATATCCCCGACCAGAAGATCCCGGACCTGCCAAGTTAAGCGGGCCAACCCCAAAAATCCGATCATGACCCAATTTCTTCTTCAAGTAATCCATGTACTCACCTTCCAACGCTTCAAAGGAATTGAAAACGCAGCCCCAACTCCTCGAATTTGCAAGCTTGACATCCTTGACAAGCTCCCAATCAGGATCAGATTTTTGATACAACCGAAACAAGGAAGGCAAATGATCGACTTTGAAAACATGGGAACCAGGCAAAGAAGAAAGGTCAACCTCGTCTAAAGGCTTAAACTTGTCAACGTCGTTCCATAAATAATCATCGATAGAAGCTAAAAAAGCACCGGAAGGGAAAAATGTGAGTCTGGGTATTTTTACTTGGTGGGCAAGATGTTGGGTCCAACCAAGGAAGAAGTCGGAGATGATGGCGACGGGAGGGGTGGGGTGAGAGTTGAACCAGTGGAGTAAAGGGTCGTAAAGTTTGGAAAGAGAGGTCATGATGAGGAGGTTACCGGAATGGCCAAGGTCTTTGACGTTTTCGATGCCAGGGGGGATGGAAGGGTGAGAAGGGAAAGGGAGGATGAGAGGAGTGATTGAAGAAGGGTAAGCGGAGAGGAGAGAGGAGAGGTAAGGTAGGTTTTTGGGGGTGATTAGGATGGTGATGGTTAGGCCTTGGAGAGCAAGGTGGTCGGTTAGGTCGAGAAGAGGGAGCATATGGCCCTGAGCTGGGTACGGGAATACCAGGATGTGGGGGTTGATGTCGGTGGCTGACATGGTAGCTTGAGAGAGGTAAGAGATGTTAGAGACGCAGCTTGCTGCTTTAAGTCTTATCTTGTCAGACTCTTCCTTTTAATCTGCTACCAAGTCTTGCATTGACTGATGTTACTTGTTACTGACTTATTCCGTAACCTTCTGTCTTTGTTTTTGGACAAAGGAATGGAATTTTTACCCAACCCACAAAAAAATTTTCCATTCCCTTATTGGTTCTTACTATCTCATTCTGAATTATTTTGTTAATAATAATCAAATAATACACGAAAATTTTCATTTAGATTAGAGGTCATTTAATCTTGCCATGGATCAGTATCTGTCCTTACTTCCGATGGTTCAATAACTTGGGTCTCTGAGCCTTCAGCGGCACTGACTTCTGATGCTTCTACTTCATCCTCCTCTGATGATCTACCCCATCTTCCTCCAAGTGCCATTGCCATCATCTCATATATCTTGTTACCCAACTCAGCAGGGCTGTCAGGCTGCATAATGAAGAGGAAAGTACGAATGATATGATGGTACATAAAAAATCTGCAAATTTGTTAAGCTAAACAGAACAAACAAATCTGTCTACTTACAGAAAAACCACTGGAGATCAATGCTGTATCATATAACAAGTCAACCGCTCTCCTGGCATCATTGCGGTCCAGTGCATTCTTGCATGCAGCCTGCAAGGATAATAACCAAAATTAACACCGTAATTGTGATAGGCATTATTAGCTTAGTGACCTATGAAGTCAGAAAAAAAAAATTCAAGGATAGCAGCTCCTTGTGTATCAACATTTGTACAGTACACCTTCACAATCAACGTTTTGACCACCACTGTGGATAAAACAAAGAATGATTGCTCTGTCTAATCAGGAGCACACATCACATTAGTGCAACTCCCACTACATCTAATCATAAGTAGTCTTTAGTTATCTGAACTAATACCGTGAGAAATGCTGCCATTTTTCTTTGTGATGGTGCTATATTGGCTTGAGATGGAGCTTGTCTTGGGCTCCTAAGGTCTCAAGATGTCTTTCAACTGTTTTATTCTACCAAGTTCTCCGCTAACTACTTAAAAGATCAATCTTGTTAGGAGACATGCTCAAACTAGAACATCTTCAATCAAGTTTAACTAAAATGGTCTTACATTCAAGTCTTTAATAATTGGATGATCTGGATTAATCTCCAGTATCCTCCTTCCCCTCATGAACTCCAAACTCGCTGTATCTCCAAGAGCTTGAGCTTTCATCAACCTGCATGATGCATTGAAAATATTAGTTGAAGAATAGGTTCTTTACATGTCTATGACTCATGTTGAGAAGTAAAAGACAATTGCTCACCTTTCCATGTTGGCAGACCATCCAAACATTCCAGAAACAAGCGCACAAGGTGATGAACTTAGACCCTTTGAAATTTGGACTTTGGCCACCTTGTCTCCAAGTTGTTGCTTTATCCAATCACAGTGAAGATTGTATTCTTGTTTAGTTTCCCTCTCTTTTACGTCATCTTCATCACCTGCTATGACAACAAATTCCATTAGATGCACACCAAAGCTATAAGAAATGACAAGCACGGGTGCCGGAGATCACACCCAAACAAAAAAGAAAAAATCATAATCACTAACCAAGTTCTAAATCTTTCTTGCTAATATCAACAAATTTCTTTTCTTTGTAGGCCTGCAGATTTTGGATGGCAACCTCATCGATAGGCTCAATTAAATAGAGAACCTAAGAAAAAAGAAGCTACATTAGTTATCATGGAACATCAATATAAAAGGCAAGGAAACCACATTAGCTACCAAGAGGGAAAAAAGACAAAAACAATGGCTTAATATGTGCTAATAATAACAAGAATAAAGAGATCTCTTACATCCTATCAACTACAGTAACAATCAAAGGTTAACTCTTTTCTACTCTTAAGCTAAGTTTTTCATTACTATTTCTAAATATAACACTACCCAAACATAATTCAGGTAATTCACTGGACAATATTTATCAATTTTAATCACCTAAATATGAAGTAATCTAAATTTCAAGAGCGGAAGCCTAAAGACCAAAGTGCTGTGCTTATTTAGAACCTTACTCATCCGATGCCAAATCTACAAACAAACCTCAATGTCTTTTTGAACCAACTTCTCCAAAAACGGAGCAGTCTTGGCACTTTTCAAGCTGTCAGTTGCCAGGTAATAAATAGCTTTTTGATTCTCACCCATATTTTCAACATATTCATCCAAACTTGTCAATTCCTCTTCACTTTTTGATGTGTAAAACCTCAGTAATGGTGTTATATGATTGTGATTACCAGAGTCTTCAATGCAGCCCAACTTTAGAAACCGGCCAAAGTTCTCCCAGAATTTTTTGTAATCTTGTAATAAAGTTCAACATCGTCCAAGTAAATCAATAAAGTTCAGGCCAGCAACGGTGAAAAAACATATTGTTTCCATCATGTTATATACCTCTTTATTTTCACTTTCAGAAATCTCTTGAATCATGCCAAAAGTTTTCCTGACAAGCCTCTTTCTCATAATTCTCACATAATACGTAATAACCATAAAATAGTTAATATGGCAACATAACAGCAATTACTAAATAGTTAGCAGAGATGTTCATAGACCCTAAACTGCAAATATAAAATTTACTTGAGGATAATTGTGCATGCATGTGCAAGTATAACATAGATGTTGATATGTGTACAGAAGTGCAAACAAAATTAATCTTACAATTCATCTTTCTTGAAGGATTTCCGAGAAACATTAAGGGGAAGATCATCTGAGTCAAAAACACCCTTCACAAAGCTCAAGTATCATGGAAACTGCAAAACAACGTTTGGGTTAAATAAAAGTTGAAGCTTGATGACACAGGCTTCTAACACATGGAAAGACTTTATCTATTATCACAGCACCTACTTCCACGTTCCGATTCAATCACCTTGTATGACAGAACACGATAAAAGAAATTAAACAACCCTTTTTCCTATATTTTTGTGACTATCTCTAATTCATCTTTGCTTGTCATATAGAAGTAGAATGTACAAATATTTTTCTAGTTCAAAATAACAAAGAACCTTTTAATGGCTTTATCATAAACAAGGAGGAGGCGAATGAAGACCAAGATATCAATCAAAACAGACAAACTTTTCAGTTATAACATTTTCTAGTCATGTGAATTTTGTTCAATGCAAAACACCACGATAAGTTCCCATAAGAGAAGTCATTACAGCAAAAGTCATATTGTACAAACAGAGATATTAAATGACCAGGTTAAAACTTACCAGCTCTCCATCAAAATCTTCTGAGATAAATACCCGTTTCACATACAAACGTATATTCTTTGTTTTAGGGTTTACTACATCCTCCTTGTTGAGAGGACACAAGCCAGGAATGTATAGAACACTCCTAAACTTCACCTCACCCTGCATGATTTCAATGAAACTTTAATGACTCTATCTATGCATAGGAAGTCAATTCATAAAACTACAAACGCATACATACATCTGTAGTCAAGTGAGTGTATCCAAGTGGATACAAGAATTCATCGAAAGTCTTCTTGTAGAATTCATGGTGCTCATCTTTTTCAACTTCCTTTGCATTTCACATCTACAACAGACCTCCCCCCTGCAAAAATAAAAATGGCATAAATAACAGTATATAATGATAAAACTAAATGGAAAATAGAGAAATGTTCTTGAGAAAAAGCAGTATCATAAATTGCATATTATTGAGCAGACAAAACAAAAACTCACCCATATCGGCTTTGTTTCATTTTCTAACTCCCAGTCCCAATACTTCTCAGTTTTAGTTGTCTTCGTTTTCTTCTCACTCTGTCATCAAGCACATAAGCCAACTATAACACAATATTTACCAAGAAGAAAGTTTGCTACAACAATAATATCAGAAAGCATGGAATGGTTACCTCTGGCTTTTCTTCTTCTCCTTCTTTTGGCATTTCTTCCTCCTCTACCTACCCAAAGAACAAATATATTATAGAATGGTTAAAGAGCTATATCTTCAATGTGCTCAGAAATCAAGTGCGTATAACAAAACAGAGTGACTATTGGCATTGGCTATGGAGATAAGGAAAAAGAAAACATTTTAAAGGGATAAGCCAGGTGGTAACATCTTCAAAATAAACAAACACTTTTAAAGTTTTGATAAAAATCAAACATGTTGAGAATGTTTACACCGGTTAAGACAACTTAAGCCATCCGTGAGGGACAAACCAGCACAGAGAGAGAAGGTGATAAGTCAGAAGGGGTGGAGTGGGGGGGGGCAACAAATACTCATTTGATATTTGTAAATTGTTTCCAGTTGCTTAAAGCACTAGTAGAGAAGGAAGCAAACATATCCAACCTAGAAGAGAAATGTATCCACTAACCTCAACTGTCCTTGATTTTTTTTTTTTTTTGCCAAGTGTAGATGGGGAAAGAAACAAACTGGGAATAATTCTTCACCAAATTCTGAAATCTGGTTGGATCCAAGAATTCATACTTGTCATCTGACCGAAAGAGAACAATGTCTTAGACCACATTTGGCACTTAGAAGAATTGTGCATTTAAAAAACCAGAATGTTATGGCAATTATAACAATTCTATTTACTATCTCCTTTCAATATTTAAACATATAAATGCTAATAGATACACACAAATATTCAAACAGGATGTAAAGGGGGAAAAAGGGATGAACAGATAGGGTACCCTTAAATAAAGTGTAATCTGTGTACCATGGTGTAGAACCTTTTCAGGATCCGTTTCCTCCCTAATAACATAGGAGCTACTGTCTGCTAGCTTCCCAAACATATTGCTTCTCTGACCTTGGGCTCTTTGTGGACACAACAACCTGATCAAGAAATAACATAAGCAAGCAAACCCAATTAGCAACCTAACGTGAAAATTATTTAACAACAAATGCTTTCATAGAGTAAACAGAAGATACAATGCAAGATATCAATTAAGCAGATAGCGCATTACCTTCTCAGCAACAAAAAAAGCAGGATTGAATCCAACATCAAATTGACCAATCAAACTATTGTCAGCCCCTAGATACTTATTTTCCTACAGATAATAAGATGCTAAGTGACCAAAAACATTATTTTTTCTTTATTTTATAGAAAAAGAGAGTTAGTTACAAAATACAAAAGAGATTACCTTACGAGCCTTAAGAAATTTTGAAGCACCAGTTTGAGCAATTGTTCCGAGACAGTCAATGAGCTCTTCTTTTGTCATTCCAATACCAGTATCTCTGCAAATCCATTAAGAAAATTAAATAAATAAGTCCTTCATCATTTCAATTTCAGGAAGAAAAGTCATAAACATACGTATGTGATAGTGATAGTCCCATTATCTGGATCAGGTTTGATGCGTATCTCTAGTTCCCCAGCATATCCAAGCAGAGAGGGCTCAGTCACACATAAGAATCTAAGCTTAACTAAAGCATCACTTGCATTACTGGAGCACAAAAACAGAACTTTTTCAGTAGTGGACAAAGGAAACCAACTAAACCAAAAGTAATGTAGCATGAAAGCTTTCCAACAGAAATATCACAAATTCAAACACAACACATTGTCCCTATGTTGAAACCATGAATTAAAACCTATGGAGCCAAACATGTCAATTAAAAACTAGGAGTCTTTATAAAAAAATGAATAAATTATAGTTATAGCAGGAAATAAATATCCTCACCTTACAAGCTCTCTCAAAAACACCATTTTATGGCTGTATAAGCTGTGAACAATCAAATCCAACAAGCGACTAACCTGCAACCATTTGTAAACTTGTATCAATTCCAGAAGCTAAAATATATGACCAAAACTGTCAATATAAACAAACATCAAATATTAACAAATAAAAGCTCTATCCAATAGAAAAGGCAGCAATTTTCAAGTCTCATAGTGCATCAAGTAACATCATTTTCCTTCATTTTCTCATAAACCAATCAAGTAAACCCATAAATATTCAAGCAAAAGAAACCCACCTCGGCTTGGTACTCAAATTTCTCCCTCGAGGTCTCTTCGGCGTCTTTCTCAGCAACTGCCGACGCCTGACACCGACGCGCAATCAGATGGTTTCTCTTCTCAAGTTTCCACCTTAAGCCAGTGCAAAAGAAGGCCTTGTTGAGACCATTTCGAGGTAGAAAAGCACTTCTGAGATTGAAGGCCTTGTTGGGGCTTGTCAAAGGGAGATGGGCTAAACATGGGGCAGCTAAGCTTCTACTTAGAACTGGAGCCATCAAAGCTAAGCCCCAAAGAAAGAGAGAGTTGGAAAAGAAATTAGAGAAGAAGATAATAATGGTTCTTGAGTGAAACGGGTAAAAACCCTACTGAAGGGGTTTAAGGGAAACAAGTTGGCAAGCTTTTAGTTTGGACTTCGGACTTTGGTAATGCAAGGGTTATACGGTGTAATGGTGTAAATGATACATTAATATTTATAAATTATTTAAATTTAATTTAAATAAAATTTAAATTTGATTTAATTATTATCAAATTAAATATAAATTTGAGTAGTTTAATTCATCAATTAAATTAAGTTCGAGTATTTTTATATTCAATTTGAGTAACTTGTGAGTTTGATCGAGTTTTTATATTTAAATATATTTTTATTATTTTAATTAATAAAATATTTTAAATTCAAGTTCGAACTCGAGTACAAATGATAAAACTCTTATCGAATATACGAATTGAGCTTAATTTTTTATATATTAATCGAATTTAATCGAGCGAGCTCAAATAACTCGATTTCGATCACGAATCGAGCTTGAGATAAAAAAATAAAACTCGATCAAATTTAAATCGAATATTAAACCATGAATTAAAAATCGAACTCAAACTCAAACTTCTCTTTATATTAATTTAACTCGATTTAATTACACTCCTAACTTACTCTTAACTTAGAGTATGTCATTGCAACAACCTATTAAAAAATTATTTTTTTTTTTTTGTATTTTTTTCCCTCGGTTTCAGAGTAGAAAAATGTTGCCTGTATAAATAAATATTTGTTTATCTCATCTTTGGTAGATTTTTTTTATTTGAGATTGTTATTATTTGAAATTTATTATTAAATTAAGAATTAAATGCTTTATTAGATTATATAATTGTTAGTAATGTAAAGTAGAGTTTAATATATTGATTTAATTTTCCAATTGATTTTCTTATTGTTGGTAAACTTTATAAGAATAGAAATCTTGAATAGAATTAGATAGGATAATTTTAAATATTATATGAAAATATAAAAGTGAAATAGATACATTTAAAATTTTAATAAAAAAATATGTTTTTGAATTTTATACTATGATCAAATAAATTTTTTTTACATTTATTAAACTTAAAGAAATATATACACAAATTACCAAATATAAGTTTGAATCTAATTTGACTTTTTTTTGCCAATAATTTTGGACTTTTGCTGCATGTTTGTTTCTTGGGAAAATAAAATAGAAAATTCCACTGATTAAAATATTGAATTGGGATTACTTCTAAGAAAAACAAGATTTAAAAAATGAAAAAACAATACCTCTAAACTCCTATTGTATGGAATTGCATTTAATTTGAGAGAGAGAAAACAGAAAGAAAGATGAGCTCCATGGCTCCTTCAATATGGAAATATATATATATATATATATATATATATTATAATCTCCACATTTATCCAAAACCTAGGATCTTTGTTACATTCTTCTTATTTCGATTAAACCCAACAAAGGAATTACCAAAGAAAAATTGAAATGAACGATCTAGAGTGAGGATGTGCATGGATGGTACTTGTTTCCAGGAGAAATAGCAGCAACCATTGTTATAGAAACATCCCAGGCCATCAACCAGACGATGGAGGAAACGAAATTTACAACCCCAATGTGCAAGAACTGCATGCTGAACAGTGAACACTTTCTTACTCAAACCTCAGTAGCTGTCTGCTTCAAGCAGTCAATATTGCACAATCCAACTGATCGTACCATGTCTCCCAAGCTGCAATAATCAGTTCCAATAGTCAATACAAAGAAAAGAGAATAAAAAAGGCTTTTTATGGTTCATATCTAACCGATCAAAACTATTTCTTGCTCTCTCTGAATGATCTGTGCTGTTCCTAGCCTTCATATTTCGATCAAGGCTCTTTCTTGATTTCTCTCTTTTGTCAGTGCTGCCTCTTGCTTTCTCCCTATCGTCTGTGCTTAGCCTAGATTTTTCCCTCTGCCCAAAACTTGGCCTACCCTTCTCTCCATGGTCAGTGCTTGGCCTGGATTTCTCCTTATTGTGGTCTGCATTGTTGGAAGGTTGGTCGGATTGATCCTTTGGTTGCTCAGATACATTTCGAGGACGTGGTAGTTTCTCAATGGCTGATATGAACTTCCTAAGGTGCGTTAAGTACTCAGGGTAGAGTTCCAGATTACAATGGTTTCCCCCTTTGAGCCACAAAGGTTCGTACTTCTCTTTACATAGCTCCCAAAGTTGCTTACCATGAGAAAAATCCACCACTTCATCTTCAGTTCCCTGCATAACATTGTTAAATAATTACTCAAGTATCCTTCAATCAACTTGATCAATCTCCTTGTAACAACATGTGACGCCCTAATCCCACGTTAAAAAATTGTGATGATCCAATATAATCATATAATATATATGAAAATATCTAAACCCATTTTTTTTTATATAAAAACCATGAGACTTTCGGATAAAAACAAATAATATATTGCCAGGTTCAGCAAAAAAGTGAAACCAACATGAATGTTCAATCAATTTTGAGTTGTAGCACTATTTGTTTGTAGAGGAAGGTGTCATCTGTCAAATATGCAGTAAAGCAACGGGGATGATATACATCAGACAGTGATGGCATTTATGTTTTACTTAAACAGTCTGAAGAAAATTCAACTGATCAAATCGTAAACTAGGCATTGAATAGGTGGCTTAATTCATCTACAATGAATCATTCAGATGAAAGGACTGAAGAAAATACAAACTCACATGAATGACCAGAACAGGGCAGTCAAGTAGAGGAATTTTATCAATATTCTGCAATAAAACCAAGAAGGGCACTCTTTAATAAAGAGAAGAACTGTCACACATTTTGAAACAGAAAAACTTTTAGTATAGTTCAAGGTGAATAGAAATTGAAGCAAAAACCTTGTAAATGTCAAACCAGAATGTACGCTTCACAGGATACATGACTCGGAGGCCAGACAAGATTGGACTGTGAAGAATTACAGCCCTCAAGTGAGGCAACCGGAGGGCTAGTTCCAGAGCAGGTCCACTCCCAACTGACTGTCCATACAATATAGTCTCTTCCTGTTTTACTCCATAGGTCTCTTCCAGGCATTTGTAAGCTGCCTCTATGTCTGCATATGTGTCCTGCTCACTTGGCTAAATGCCAAAAATATATCAGAACAATCATGAATTATCAGATTAACTCTCAGTCGAATCAGAAAGATTTATTTAGAGACCTTGACGAATAAATATTTTTCATGGGATTTCTTTTGTTACGAAGGAGGCCGCAGCTTAAAAATAGAGAAAGTAATTGTAGGTGCTGAGGTATGAATCTTAAATCTGTTGGATGTCACAGCTGCATAAATCAGCTAAACTAAGTTCTGGGTTCATTTTCCATGGGATTTTGCTATTGTAGTAGGAGGAGGAAATTTTCCCATGATAATAAACGAATTAAATTGATAAGAAACAAAGGTTCCATGTTCATATTTCATATCTCCAGTCTCTCTCTCAATCTTTTGACTTTCCCCTGTCTCAGCCAAAGCCTACATTGAAAAGAAGAAGACCGGAATATACCTTTCCAGAGGATTGTCCATATCCTGAGTAATCGTATCTGCATCAACAACTTTTCTATGTTCTCAACTTTTTTCAGGGTTAAACTATGGGAAAAATCTATGAACATTTTAACATACAATTGTAACTAACCCCATGAGATTAGCATTAAGGTGGACACTGAGCTCAGTGAAAATGTGATACATCTGACCAAGATCAGCAGCATTTCCATGAGAATATAGCACTGTCAATGAAGCTGACGGGTTCTTCACATACATAGCCACAATCTTATTCCCTCTCTTGGTACTCAGCTTCAATACGTCCACGTTATCTCTCTGGTTAACATCTGGGATCCTCATTTTCCCAATTGCTTCATCCACAATTATGTTGTAAGAAGGCGGGTCCGGAGGGAAAAACGCAAATTTCGCTGCCATAGATGATGTTGCAGTCCCCATTTTTTATCCAGAAGCATGAAACAATGATAGAATTTGATGGTGATTAAATATTTTTGGTGTGACAAGTTGATAAAAACTGCATGGTAAGGCTTTTAGACAATGCCTAGACTTTGAGGTTAGTTTTTTTTTTTTTGGTTTGGAGGGTAAGAGACTAGACAGAGAACAAAGATTATAGTGAATGAGACAAAAGCAAGAAGTGGAGATTTAGGAATTCAAGATTCTGGGATTTGGTTGTTTATGTTTGGTTCTTGAGAAATTTTGGGCATGAAAAGGACAAGGTAGGAGGGAGGAATTTCTTGTCGGTTATTAACCAAAGAGTGATTTCCGGCTTCAAAAATGGCTACAAAAAGTTAATGCATTCTTTATTTTCTAATACTTTTTATAATTTGGGCCACAATACTCCTTTCCTTTTTGAAATTTGAATTGCATTATATGGCTCTTTGCAATGATATAGTGGACCAAGATGTTTATAGATACTTCAATGGCAGATGTGATAAATTGGTAGATGTTCATCCTTCCTGTTTTCTTCTCTTCATGGGACAGTGCTTAAGTAATACTCTGATCTCTACAAGGGGAATGAAAATCATACAAATGGAAAGATTACTTAAAAATTATGCTTGGAGACAAAATCAATCAACTAATATATATGAAAAATTGAAAATTGAATCTGAAATTTAATTGATTCATACAATCACTTTTAATAGATGATATTTAGTGCAGAAATTCATTGCCATAATTCTATAACAATGAAATGACTTCCCTGGCTAGTTTACCGAACAAACACATTTTTGGTTCAGAAATGGATAATTTCCTTTTATTTGACATTTGCAAGAAAGACCAAAACCATCTTTATATGGAAACAAAACTGCTATATTCTAGGCTTTTTGCTTCCTCTTTATCAATCCTAGCTATAGCCCTTCATGCTTAGGCTAGAGTGTCCAAATTAGGCCTTGCTTCTTCTTGCAATTGCATGCCTTCGCATTTTGTATCCAAAATAGATCGCATTGCTTTTCATGACTCTTGGCTCTTGCATTGATCCATTAGGTAAAAAAAAAAAAAACCATTAGAAATTTGGGAAAGAAGGAATTTTATAGCTTTTATGCAAGCAAAAGTAGATGAATGATGAAGTGGTGGGGCTAATGACTATAAAGAAATTTAAAAGAAAAATGTATAGGGTATTGATGTGGGGTCTAGTTTGGGAGAGGAGAGGGAACATTCATGATTACATATATGTACATTTATATGATCTTTGTTTAAATTGAAGCTTCAATTAGTTTATCTTTTTCTGAGTAAATCAACTAGTTTATTTTATTTTTATGGTATAAAGGAGACTCAAAATCTAAGGAAAAAATGAAAAAAAAAATTCAAATATCATGGATGGATTGAACCCTATATTTATGCTTGAGCAAGCAGATATATTTTTGTTCTTTCATGAGACATTATACATTTTAAAGCATGATTAATATGGCTATCCTTGAAGCTATTCCACGGGGAATCATCCTGAAAGGAACAATAATTGGAACAAAAGATATGCTGGCTTTCTCCCATAGTTCCACTCGATTGTGTGATGCTAGGTGTTAGGTGTCTTTCAGTTCACGAGTTTTGATCTCCTCCGAATGGGTCCTCGAGCTCATGAAAGCATGCAGTGGGAATGTTTTCAATCCATACTGTCATAGTCTTTTGGACCAAAAGGCATGACTTTGGTATCTTTGCTATGATCTATCTGAATGTGCCTCATCCTTGTTAAGCAAAGCAATGGTTTACAATTTTGCCATTAACAGGCTCTAGATTGATCTCCTCCATCTCCATGAAACCAAATGGTACATTAGAGAGAACAGGACAGCTATCTCCAAGAATTAATTGCAGGCAGCAGCAAAAATCTATAGTTGAAGTAGCAAAATACTAGCCCTCCGACTCTTGGTTACTTTCATAGTTAACTCCACTATACCAATGATTTGTCTAATAACGTTTTCTATGCATATGAATAAAAATTGTTGTCAATGGAAGAAAACTGGCATCATCTGGAAGTGGCCAAATTTGTCACTGTGAAGCCTAACTGACACTAGAAAGGGCATTGGCTTTCAAGCAATGACAGAATTCAAAGAATTTCACTTATGCCGCAGCCAAAGACAGCTAGCTATTACAGGTAATTTTTCCCTTCAATGTTTTATTGTATTTTGTTCTCAAACCACGATTTTTCGTACTATGTACATGGTGGCCATATGGCAGAACATGCTTCTGGTTGTAGTTCGATACATTATCACACAAATTTCGAGTGCGAAATATGTTTGCCGTTGGTGGCTTTAGCTTTAGTTTTAAAACTATAGCTAGAAATACCCACTGAATCATTCAAATGTAGTTAGAAAATACGCTTTAGCTTTAGCTAATTGGTATATGGGAAACCAGCATTTAAACCATATACCAAACAAATTAAGCTGATTGTCTCTGGTTGAATGCATGGCGGCATGTTGACAGGCGCAAAACATACGTACCTTACATTCTACGTTATCGAACGCACCACCTCTAACACTACACAGCCTGATGGACCACTCATCAATGCCTTGATAACCTCGCTTTTCATTTTACCTTGTTTTTTGTTCTTTCAAATATTTGGCACGGTTACCATAGCTTCGGTTTGTTGTGTTCCATGCAAAGCCCTCACATGATACCCAATTTTTACCTTGGACCTTGAAATTTCATTATCTATATGATTTTTTTTTTTTTGTGATTCAAAGGAGCCTTGAGATTTCCATATGGTTCAATCTCGTCGACACATGTGGGTGATTCGAGTGTTGAATGCGGTATATTTTACTCAAAATCTTACATGTTAACAAGTTTTCTTGTTTATATGCACTTTGGAAAGGAGTACGTTGAAATTCATAGTCCTATCCTATTGGTGCTAAAATCTATATTTGACCTGGTTTCGATCATCTCCATTGCTATAAAAGCCTTTGCTTCTGTTTTCATTTCCTAGGAAGAAAGGTGAATGCTGGGATGGTAACATGCCTCTTGATGTTACTTCTGTTTACTACATGGATTTCCTTTGCACAAGCCAGGTGGCAAGGTATATATAAATATGGTGATTCTTCATTTCTTTTTTTATATGTTTAAATTGTTAAAATTTAAATCCTAATCACTGAAATTAAAAGTCTAGCTGTAATTCTTCCATTCTTTAAACTTAATGCATTTTTTATTTGAGCTTCAGTATTGTTATAATTTAGGCTATTGTTGAATTTATGTACTTTTTCTTTTATTTCATCAGGTGGGATTCTGGATTCAAACCATAAGATAGTTTCTATTGGAAAGGTGATAATAATTAAGGTGGCTACATTATATTCTAATTCAATATTTTGCATGACTTCTGTATCTGAAATTTTTTTGGTTCAATTAGGGGCTCCTGGATGGTGAACATGCAGTAACTGCTGCTGCAACAAGCAAGAATTGGCTAGGAGGAAGAAAAATGGTGGTACTGGACAGACAAATGAAGAAGCTAAAGGACGTGAAAATGAGTGGTGCTACTGTTGGAGGGGCTTCAAAGTTTTCAACTACAAACTCCAAATGTGGCAATAATTTAGGCTGCGAACACACTGTCATCAGTCATTTCTCTGATGAAGTTGATGAGTCTGGTTTCACGGCTTTCAATGCTGATTATCATGAGCCCAGGCACCACCCACCTAAGAATAACTAATAATTAAGCAAAAATATGGTTGTCAACAAAGAATGTTAAATTAACAACAGTGTTATCATATCTATATGAATGTTAAAAGATAGTTGAGTACTAACAGTATAAATCAGTTAGTAACTTGGTGGCTAAAAGAAGTCCCTTGTACTTTTCGTACTTTCACTGTTTCAGACACACAACACCTTGATGACTCCTCTAATCTTCGATGTAGATGTGTCTCTCCAGTCTCCACCTATCTTGAAATATTTGCATTTTGCCACTGACAGTCAATTGTGAAGTCAAATCATCACCAAATCATCTTCCTTCACATAAACCAGCTTCCTCTCTTCTTCGTCTCTCCACCGTGTCCACTGTAGCCAACCCCAACACCAACCCCCACATACCAGTGTTCCCCTGCATGCTCGCTCTTCTCAACCTCACCCACCAACTCTCACCCCTAAAAACCTCCTTTTCCTCTCTCCTCTTCCCTCGTCTCTTCTCCCCCTTGTTGCATCATTCCTCTCGTACTCCCTTTCCCTTCACGCCCTCTCTCCCCATCCGGCGTTGAACATTTTAAAGGCCTCGGAAACAGCAGGAACCTTGCCATTATGGCCGCTTTAGGCAGACTTCAAGACCTTTTAATCAACTGGTTCAACTCTTATGCGACCTTTATTTCCAAAGACTGACTGATATAACAATGATGCACAAATTCCTCCCCTACAATAACATGTCATTAATATTGTTAAGACTTTCAACATTCATGCTAAAGAAAATAAGGAGGGCTGTTGTTCAATCATATTTAAAGCACAGGAAGGAAAATTGTGTTCCTTACCATTCCTTACTGTTTCATGAACGATGACGGTTGGTTGATGCTAAAAAGAGGTTAGGACTCCAAATCTTCCAGTATGTCAATGAATGCGGCCACTGCATCTGATATGTGCAACTAGCCTAATGAGGACGATGGGCTGTCAAATCAGATTCTGAGAAGCACAAATGGAGAAAAGATAAGTGGAGTTCAAGTTAAAAGAAAAGAGAGGGGAAAGTGGTTTTAATTTTTTAACACTTATTTGAGAAAAAATCTCTAGTAGTGGCAAAATGGCAATCCTCCAAGACTAAGCCCACTCATCATACTAATAAATCAGCTATAATCGGAAAAAAATTGAAAAACAATGTTTAAAATGTGATTAATAATAAAAAAAAAAACAGGTTAGCTCTTTTCACATATAGTTAATGCAAAATGACTAACTAACTAACTATATATATTTATTTATTTATATTGCGTGTTCTCACCATTAAGAATCTGCAATTAAGTGTTTGCAGATCTGTCCCAGCATCCTTAATACCTTAAGTAGTCATCCACAGGTGCAACTGCTTGAACAAATAACAATACCACCATCAAGAACCTAAATTGAAGCTGGTTTGTCTTCACATGGGATAAATTAGACATAAGGGAAGAAAACTAGATTCGGTAGCAAAATTAGACAGATTTTAGACCAAGGTGACATTCAAAGGAAATTGAATCCAATTGAGGTAGCCTACTTAGATCGATCTGCAAAAACTTGTCAATACTCACAAACTTGTCAATATCTCATCACAAACTTGCAAACTACAAGGATGTGATGAGAAATTCAAATTTCCAACCGCAATGAGACATTACCTTCAGTTCAAGCGTTAAATGAACCAGCAATCTTTACATGAGAGATAAGTAGCAGAACTTATCCCATGCAATATATAGGGCCACTCTAACACTTTAATGTGGATCAAAACATGCATTCAGACATGCAGGAGTAACCTTCCTATCGTCTTATTCAACATCCTCCTTTTCGAATTACAACTCCAAGTCACAAATCAGAAAACAATACCTGTTCTAGGCTATAAATCAAATAATTTCAAGCTTTAATCAAAACCTCTTGTTTTATTTTAGAAGGAAAAGGCCTAGATTATGGATACATCATACAAGACATAAAAATGGGGCCAGGAAAGGGTGAGTAAAAGCATTCCCATGCGTTAAACAACACTTTACACATTATGTAACTAGGCATTTATCAGCCTAACTGTTGTAAATTTCACAGCATAATTTTTTTCTTTATTAAAAGTAAGAGGAGGTAAAAGCATTATGCTTGTTTCTTATGAACCATTTAACTTAAATCTGTAGTGAAAAACCATAAGCAATATATATCTATAATTTAATGCCTATACCTTCAAGTGACGAACCTCAGCATCATTAATTTGGCAGTTCCTTCTCAAAGAAAGATGCATTAAAAATTAAAATCATCATTTCTCATGAATTTTGAGGAAGTAAGCCAAATTTGATCATCCATGCGAGCATTTCATAAACTGAAATGAAGTCACCACATTGAAGGTAGGCATCAAGCAAAACTTCACAAATTTCTTGATCTGGAGAAATGCCATAAGATAACATCAGACAGAAAAAATGCTGTGCCTCAGTTATCAAACACCTTTTGCACAATCTATTGATAACTGCACTATAATCTCTTACTGAAATTTCGAAGCCCTTCTCCACCATTAGGTGGAAGAACATGAAAGCACTGTGTACATCACCCTTCACACAATGTGCTTTGATTATTGTGGTGTAAGCAACTTTGGTCAAATTGATATTTCGTTCATGAAGAGAAATAAGTAAATTATCAGCATCCTTAAGGTTACCATATACACAGAGACCACGTATGAGAATATTATATGTGACAGGTGTGGGCTGAAGATTATTCAGTAACATCTCATTAAGTAACTTAAAAGCCTTTTTAATATTTTGAGCTTTGCAGAAACACTGGATGATGGTATTATATGTCACTTGATCTGGGTTGAAACCCTTATCACACATATCCTCAAGTAATTGGACAGCTTCTTGCAACTTCCTCTGTTTACATAGCCCTTTGATAAATACAGTGTAAGTGACATGAGTCGGACCAACACCTTTTGCATCCATCTCTCGAAGCAACTCAAGCATGCAGTGCATATTTCCATGTTCACAATATGCATTCATAAGAGTGGTGTATGTTACAGCAGTTGGTTCCAAGCCATTCAGCCTTATAGTGTCCATCAATCTTCTTGCCTCAGCTAAGTTTCTTCTTTTGCAGAACCCATATATGAGAGTCCCTTTTCCAGCTATTAGTTTATATAACTGTACAGCCTCCTCAACATTACCATGCCTTACATACCCATCAATCATAATATTATAGAGAACAATATCCTGCCCCCAGTCATTCATTATCAGAGAATCAAAATACATTCTTGCCTCCAATATCATCCCCTTCTGACATAAACTCAATAGAATGGCCCCACTTGAAATCGAATTACGGTCAATTCTCTTTGAGCACATTGTTTCGTATAATTGAAGAGCCCTTTGTAATTCTCCTTGCTTGCAGAGCCCATGAATAAGGATGGAATATGTTAAATGATCCAGTTCCAAGCCATCAGCTTCCATTTCATGAAGCAACACCAGTGCCTCATCAACTTGTCCACTCTTACACAAACTGCTGAGCAATAAACTGTATGAGATGTTACTCAACTGAAAACCACGTGAACGCATCTCCTCCCGCAACTTTAATCCTTCCTTGACATTCCCATTCTGACAATGGCCACATATGAGTATCGTATATGTAACAAGATCTGGATTCAATCCTTTATTTAGCATTATTTCAATGACCTTCCAAGCCCCATTCATCAGGCCAAGTAGACGGAACCCTTTTGTGAGAATGTTATATGTTACTATATCAGGCTGTACCCCATGTTTCTCCATGTCATTTGTGAATTCTAATGCTTCCTCCATGGAACCAGCTATACATAGTCCATGAATAAGAATATTGTAACTATATGCATCAGGAAGTAGTCCATACTTAAGCATCATACAAAAAAACGATCTTGCAACATCTGCAAAACCTAATTTGCAATATCTTGACATAATTGTATTTAATGAAACAACAGAAGGCCCAAGTCCCTTTCCTTCAGTCTCTCGCAAGAATGAAACTGCATCTTGTAGCTTGGATTGCCTACAAAGGCCATCTATGACTATAGAATTAGTTTGTTTGCTCCGAGTAGTTCCAGTAACTTTGATTTCATTATACACATCCCACATGATATCAGTATGCCTCAAGTTGTATAAAAGACTGTTATAGGTCAGTATTGAAGCATGCAATTTAAGGTCCTTCATCTTCGCAAGAACATAGAGAGCATCATGAACCATCTCAAATCTCGAATAAACAAAAGCCAACATATCCCATACCCAACTGTTCTTGTCCCAGTCCCTAAAGCCATTCCAAAGGAGCTCACAGAGTGAAGGAGCAGAATCAGAGCCTATCAGAAATCACACAAAATCTATAAACAAAAAAATGAGCAGCATTTCAAATCCTTGACCAAAAAAGAAAAGAAAAAAACATTGTAGCTAAAAAGCATTTGGGTAATCATCTGATTAAAACATTATTGCACCCAGATGCAAAGCAAGCCTAGTTTGACACAAACCCAACAATTGCAACCACCAACAACATATATCACTAATAAAAGATGCAAGAAATGTATAACAAATTTTCTATGAATAAAAACCAAAATAACAGAAAAAATCCAACAAAAAGCACCAAAGAGAAAAAAGAAATAACCAATTCAATACCCCAAAAACACAATACCTTCCTCTTTTAACATTTGCTCCAAAACGAACCGCAACTCCTCGAGCCGCCTCTGCCCGGCCAAAACATGGGCCACAACGAACCGTGAAAATCTTGAATGCCGAAACCTATACTCCTTCCTCATAAAATCAAAGAAAACCACCACAAAATCAGGGCTTTCAACTCTCAGACCATTTATAATTTTATCAACCTGTAACTGATCCAAACTCAAAACAATGTTCCTAAAGTAATCCCCAGCTAAAAACCTCCTAAAACCCAATTTTTTCAACCCAGAAAGGATCTCAAAACAGGGTCTTTAGGAGGGTGGAAAAGAAAGGGTTCTTCTTCCACGAGTTTGGCAACGGATACTGAAGGCTTGAAGAATATGAGGGAGGAACGAGGGGAAAGAAAGTGAGGTTTTGCCAGAAAATTGATGGGTTTCAATTTATGGATCATGGAAAATTAGGGTTTAAAGGTTTTAGGATGTTAATTTTTTTCAAAAGGTAATAATTATTTATTAGGCTTTTCGGAGGGGGATTCAATCTGAGATTTAGGGGTTTAGGGTTTAAGAGAGCCGTCATTTTCCCGGCAATTTTAAAGACTCAGAGAGAAGGGGAGGGTTTTGGAAGATAGCCAAACGGAGAAGGTGACTCATCTCTCAGAGGGAAGATCGTTTCTCATTTGAACGATGCCGTTTTTATGTTAAGTTTAGAGTCATTTACAAAAAAAGTACAAAAGAATTATTTAAGTTTTAGGCTCCTTAATATTTTTTATATAATTTATATTTTATTAATCTAATAATTGAATTTTATTTTCATTCATATACATCATGCATATTGCATTTCAAATTAATTAAATATTTTAACTATTTTTAATATTAATATAAATTCATTTTTTAATCATATATTAAAACAAAGACAATGTTTTGAATAGATGCCACATAAATATCAAATTGATTAAAAAACCAAATAACTTATTTTTTATTCTAATACTTTAGTATATCGGTAACAATTTAATTAGAATAAAATTTTATTTTAACGAGATTCTTAGGCCATTACAATAAAAATCTATAATCATTTGTGAAATTTGAGAATTAAGTGCTTCATAAAATTAAGGAATTACATATGAATTCATGTTATTATATTTAAATATAATGATTTATATCTTTGTATTGTATAAAATATTAAAATTTGTTTATTCATGTTACATTTTACATAAAAATTATATGTCATAATTTATATCGATACGAAAATATGAAATATATTTTTTTATTTTATTAAATCTAGATATAATTATTATTAAAATTTTAAGCCGTATTATCCTCATATCTTATATTCGTGTCATGTTTATGTCATATTTTAAATTATCAAATTTAATTATATTACATTAGACCTAAAAATACAAATTATGTGCTCCTTTTTTGCTTCTATTATTCCATGACAAGGTTACAATATTTCTTCTTCAAGCATTAGTTGCTTAGAGACAATAGGGATAAAAAAAAAAAAACTAATTTATGAAAAACATTTGATAATAAAACATTGATATTCAAATTGATTCATATAATTATTTTTAATAAATAATATCTAATAAATTTAAGATTTAAATCATAACATTTATAATTCTTTCCATTATCTTATATTATTAGCTTTGTTATAAAAAAAAAATGGTACTATAATAAGAAACTACAATAACTATTCCATCAACTATCCTAGATTCTAGTAATAAATGAGAGATGTGTCTTTGTATGACAACCACCATACTTTGGCTTTAAGTACTTGTTTACACCAAGCTCCAACCCGAAAATAAGTTTGAAAATGCAATAAATAAAAGAGAGTCGTTAGAGATAAAAGTAAGAAGTGATTTTTGCATTTGCATTTTAATGCATAAATCAAAAATTAATATGAAAGAGGTTGGAACAAGAGAAAAGTAAAAATATTTGAAAAAAAATGGAATAAAATCTAATATAATATATGAATATTTTTATTTATAAACAAAAAACGAGAAATCTATGAGGGACAATAATGACGTGATCAATTTAATATGAAATTGAATATATTAAATCAATTTAAATGTTTAAAATATTTTTAACTGTTTATTAATAGCTTTTAATAAAAAAAAAAAAATCTTAATGTCTTTTGGACCAATAAATGCTCCCAATGTACCTAATAAGAAGTTGGAAGCTAGTTCTCGTATTTTCTTGCCTTTATTTTCTTATTTTTTCTTTATTAAGTTAAAACCAAATGAATTAAGAAAATAGATCAACAAGGGTTGATTCGAGGATTGGATTAGGAAAATAATGAATTTATATTGATGTCTGTCTCCTTTTATGTTCTTTCATCTTCTTCTTTTACCTGTTTATTTGAATCCAAATTTGGTCTCTACCTCTTTAAATTTGCCCAATGGCAAGACAAAAATTGATAAAAAAAAAAAAAAAAGCTAATATATGGGTCTTATCTAAACATCAAGCATTCAATAATTAGGACATATATCTTTTTATTAAAAAAGCAAGTTCGGATTTTTTTTTCAAAAAAATTCATTACTTGACTGGCAAACAAGACCTATTCAAACCTTTTAGGGCGACAGAATTTTTGTGGGAAGTGTAAGGAGAAGAGAGTGAAGAATGATGGATGAGATTTCTTTGTCTATGGAGGCCACAGGTTTGGCTCAAACCTTGAGGGCTAAGGAGTGCAAGTTAAGACTTCTAATTTGGACCCATTCTTCTTGCATTGAGAAAAACACTGTAACTAAAAAGCTATTATTAAATCATTAGAATATATCTTCTTGTTTTGAAACATGCCATTACCATTACACCTAAAATTGACCCTTCACACTAAATTTAACCACTAAAAGCAATTTTCTCCTTCAGATTTTTTTTTCTTTGTGTTTTTTATTTGAAAAAGTAATTTAAATCCGTTTTTTAAGAAATTAAGCACCAACTACTGATCCAAATGTTCGGATGTAAATCCTCTCCTTTGTTGTTAGCAATTCATATTAGAAAATTAATCACTATTATTCCAACTGGCCAACTGAAAAAGAGAAGATATACTATTTTAGAACTCACTCAAAAGGAATTGAAGGTATACTACAAAAAACATATAATTTTTCAACAATATTTGTCATGATCTTCATATTAGTACAAGTAATCTAACAAATTAATTGAAAAATCCAACCCCAATAAAACTACCAGACACATAGACATTTAAAACAGGTATTGACTTCTGTATGATATAAATTATGCATGTAATATCATAAACCCTATGATCAGTTTAGCTTCAGAGGACTAATTCAATAATCTAGAATTACTTATCTGCATTATTCTTTTTGATGATCGAACATAGAATATATATATATATATATATATATTTCAACCTACTGCTATGGAGTAATTCATAATGGAATTCACATTTCACCAACTCAGGTTTGGCAGCTTTGCATTCCCTCCCACAATTATAAAGCCCCCAAACATTATCAAACCCTCAAACAGAACAAGGAGCAAGAGAATTCCTTGATTTTCTCAAGCATGTCTAAAGCTAATGTAAGGAGACATATCCTGGAGAAGAACAGAAGTCCTAAAGAAAAAGAGAAACCTGCAGCACAAAGTGTCCTAAACCTGAAGAAAATCTACCCAATTGGGCTTCAAAGGAGCACTTCATCCTTATCACTATCATCCATATCATTGTCTTTGTCACAGAACTCAGATGACTCCTCTCTAACAGATCATTCTAGTACTCCCCTGGAGCAAAAGATTTCATTAGCACTCAGCTTGATTGCTCCTCATCGAGAAAGAAGAGAATTCGTCCCGGTTGTTAAAACTGTCCACCAACAACAAAGTCAGGATCCTGGTAGTGGAGAACTGAGGAGGTGCAATTGGGTTACAAAGAATAGTGGTAAGTTAATAATACCTAGAGTTTGGTAATGTTTTACTTTCTTCTGATATTGCACCTGATATGAAATGTTCAAGCACAATACAAAAAACTAGTATAAGAACACCCTCTAATTGCTTTAATAGAATCTCAATTGGGCAGTGAATATATGATTGGATTGATCCGTTTCTGCAGACTGCTTCAAATTCTTCATAAAGATATCAGAATGACATTATACCAACCTCAAATTCTCTCATTTCTTTTTACAAATATCTCAACAGTAATTGTTTCTGCCAGCATGATGTTACTAAAGAATAAAGATGATATAATTGATGCCAGCTCTCGCACCTGCATTCTTACTACCTGACATGTTTTCAAACTTTTCGATTTTTTTTTTAAATTTTTGGTCAGTAAATGAAAGAAAATTTTATCAAGTGCTTGGATTAAACTTTGCTATGTGGTACTAATAAATTCGAAAACAGGCATAAATTTCATATTCAAGTGAGATAATTAGGTATCATACCCCATCCTTCACAGTGTACTGTATCTAAGTGGTTGCGTTAGTGCTCAATTTTTTACATTGTTTCCGGTGGTTAAGCTCTGGAATGGTATCTACAATCACATTTTACCTGTAAAGCAAGAACACCAGCAACAATCAGACAACCTTAGTCAAAAAGAAACTTGGCTTAAGTACCTATCACTTTCTACCAACCTTTGTCATTGTTATGTTTTAGAATAATTGCCTAAAGAAAGGAATGGAATATGGCAACTCTAGATTCCTGAGACCTCAGATATACCTATGAATTATTATAATATGCATACGAAGAACAGGCCGGAAAATATGAAATAAAATAAAGAAAAGAACACTGAAAACGATGGAAGAAGTTGCTACTGACTTGGGCTAAGAAACTAACAAAGATTTTTGATACAGATAAGGTGTACTTATCATTTCATGATGAGCAGTGGGGAGTTCCTGTTTATGACGACAAGTAAGTTGTTCGAATTCATCAACAATATCACATCTCTCCCACAAGTTATCCAATTTTTTGACATCTTCAAGTGATAAGTGATCAAACAGCCAATTGTTCGAGCTGCTAGCATTGTCCGGAATGCTGATGGATTACAACTGGACAGAAATTTTGAAAAGAAAGGAGCTATACAGGTACATTCTTCAATTTGCATGTACATTTTTTATAAACATTGAACTGAAGCTGCTGTTTTCTTTTTATCATATAGACAAGCCTTCTCTGGTTTTGATCCTGATATTGTTGCAAAAATGGGGGATAAAGAAATCAGTGAGATATCATCAAATAAAGCAATCATGTTGGCAGAAAGTAGAGTGAGGTGCATAATAGACAATGCCAAATGCATACTGAAGGCAAGTTTTAAACTAGAAATTGCTTTGCAATTTTAATTATTAGATTCAATTAATCAATGAAGTTATTTATCCAAACACAGATTGTGAGGGAATATGGATCTTTCAGCAGCTTAATGTGGGGTTATGTGAATTACAAACCAACCATCAACAAATACAAATACCCAAGAAATGTTCCTCTTAGAACTCCAAAAGCAGAAACCATTAGCAGGGACTTGCTGAAGCGAGGATTTCGGTTTGTTGGGCCTGTGATTGTGTATTCATTCATGCAAGCAGCAGGATTGACGATTGATCATCTGGCTGATTGTTTCAGATACAACGAATGTGCAGGCCTTTGAGTCGCATTTAACATCTCTACTAACTTTTAAGTCCCTTTTCCTTTTTTTTTTTGCACTTAAGAAAACCTAATCTCTTGAAGTATATAGGTAGAGAAACGTGAATTTGAGATTTATTTCTTGGATTCAACTAAATACCAATGAAGATAGAGACTAATCCAATTAATTCATACAATCACCTTAATATCTAATAAGTTTGAATTTAAATTTTAATATCAGTAATTATTTTTTTATCCTTAAAATGTGACCTCCTTTAAAAAAAAAAACCCTAAATACGAGCAATTCTAAACTTATGCTAAAAGTATGCATTGGTTACAAAAATGCATTTTCAAATTGCTGTCATTTCCATCATAATTTAGCTCAACCATTAAAATCTTCAATATCATTGAGGTTGACTATAAGTTCATTCTTCATTCTATTTACTTTATGGCAACAAGCATATTAGCTATACGAGTATATTTAGGACGATGATGATTATGGAGTTGATGTCCTAACGATAACAATAGAATAATTGTAATCCTGTTTCTGTCCATATTAGTAAGCTATCAAAGTCTGTCAACTGTGTCATTGGTCGTCACCAAGATTAGGTGGATGAAAGGTGTTCGTAGGGGAGCCAATCATTGAACTCAATCACCAAAATTTACTTTATTTTATTTGATTTAAACACTTAAACTGATTAATAAACAAATGCGTATTAGTTCGTGTGTCCCCATCAGTCAAGAGTAGGAGGAACGCAAGTCAACCACAAACTTTTACGTAGAGAAAGTCCACTTTGTTTCAGTGGTGCACTGTTCAGGCAAACAGTTGAATGCCTAATATTACTATTTACAAAAGGTCTGTAGACTTCATGGATTTCCCTACTACCTGGTTATCAGTAAGTTTCATTCTAAGCCTGGAGAAAAAAAACAACTTGACATTATACCAAGCATTATTGCTTGACAATCTTATCAATTTGAGTTGGACAGTTTATAAATCTTTAGCTCAATATTGTTCATGTCCGGTTTCTCATGATCCTGATCAAAACCTAAAACTTAGTTGATTTATATAATTATCCTTAAAAAGTGACATCCAAAAGATCTAGAATTTGAGCCTATGCAGCCTCCTATGTACAAAAAAAAAGTCTAGAGCGTGTAGCACTTTATATAATCAGTCATCAGAAATCTTGTTTGGAAATCAGGTTTCAAATCCAAAATGCATTTAGTTTGATGAACGAGGAATGCAGAACATGGGCTAGTCTTTTCTCTAGTCATCCTATGTCAAATTCAACTGCCCACAAGAACATTTGGATTAGGTCACTACTCGCAAAGCTGAATCTTGGGTTTGATTTATCACGTTGCTAAATCATTGGTCAATCTTGGATTGCAAAATTGCGTGGTATGAAGAATTTCATTGCAATTCGTCTTTATCTTGATGAATGAAATACTTCAGCTAATCCCCATTTGACAAATATCATTCCATGATTTCGGCTCTCCGTGTTTGAAAATGAACGGCGTAAATGCTCCAGCTCTATACATCCTGACAAGTCTTGCAGTTTCCGGATGAAGCATATGATGGAATTGTCATTTGAACTCCAAGATATATTAGCAAATATTCCAGGTTTTGCTCTCCATGTGGGCACAGTCAACTGAACTTATTCATAGACTATTGCAGAGATAAGAAAGTGATCACCAACAAGGATCATTGGAAACTTTTTCTCTACATGCTCAACTGTCCTCTAAAGTCCTGAATAATTATGATATCTTCAACCAATGTAACTATTTTGCTTCAAGGTATTAGGGACAAACATGATAAGCTTTTTGGGTGATTTTATCATTTTATCTTGAACTACAATCAATGCAAACAATAGCAGATAGACCCTCACTGCAGAGACAAGATAAGCAAACAAGAACCATGTAAGAGATTAGGCTGCCACGTCCAATTTAATAATCACAACAGTACTTTATGTGGTCAATTTAAGCCAACTTCATGATTATAATCTTAGGTGGAAAGGCCTGGTCTGCTAGCTAGAACTTCACCGAACCTTGAATGTTTATCCTGAGTTAGATAAGCTTTGGCTTGTGCACGTGATTTTGACTTTGGTGATGTTGACCTTCAAAACCCACACGGATGCCAACTATAGCCATCCATCTGCAAGGAAATTTCCTGATCAGAATGCTAACGCAAGGCAGGAATTATTCATGCATGTTGGCTATAGCTACTATATATTCAAACAGGCAGAAATTATATGGTATAGAGTGATGATTTTGTGTACTTCCACCGCTTGTTTCTCTTAATAAAAGCCCTTACAATTCGGTTTTTCTTTCAGATGAAAGAAACAGAGAATGAGCAGTTTATTTCTACATAGTATATTAAGTAGATTCTAGCAGTGCAACAAAATATGAACTTGGAAAGATCAGATGAGTTTGGAGTTTACTTGTCTATATAAATTTGCTTTTTCATTTGAGAAATCAGTTGGGACAAGCAACAGAAGGAAAATAACCTCCAAACTTCTCCAAAAATCAAACAAACAAATGTGCCAATATCCACAGGAAAAGCTCCAAGTTGTTGGCACTAGAGGACAATGAAAAGAAAAAGCAAATTAGAGCATGGCAATTGGCATAGAATACACCCAGCCAAAGTGTTGAAAGATGCATTCCACCCCATGCCATTCTTAATGGGACCCCAACATATGTGATGTTCATAATCAGCGGATTCTGACTTTTTTTGAATTTTTTTTTATGTACCCAGAAAAAAATTCATAATAATCTGATTAATTTAACTATTTAAATAGGGTCATAATGAAATCATTTCTTGGTACACTTTGAAGATTTAAAAAAAATCAGAAAGTGGGTTTTTGCAAGCTACCAAGGCATAACTTTGTACATATGAACCTTTTTTATTGAATTTCTTTATCATTATTCATTTTCTTGCACAACCAAAAGAACCCATGAAAAATGAAAAAAAAAAACCATGCCATCACTTCGGTATTCATACTCAAATGGAAGAAGAATGGACTCGAAAACAGGATTTCAGAACACAAAAGATTAAAATATCCCTATTCACATAAATATTCCTTTTCTTTTTTATGGTTCCAATCTACAAATTATTTATCAAACAATGTCCACGAGGAGGTGAAAGAAAAGAAGGAAAAATAAAACAAAATCAAAAAGATAAAATGCAACCAATTCTACTCAGCTCTGCACTTAGCTGAAGCAAAGAGGGATTCCTCCTACAGCTGCTCCCAAACTACGACATTCCCCGGGGAAAACCCATATAACGAATCTATCCTAACAATCCTTCATCCCAAGTCCCAACAAACCTACAAAGTCTTATTTCATCTTCAGTTAACTCAACTCTGGTATTGATATAGTGGCACCTCAATCTCAAAACTGGCATGAAGTACCTAGCCTCTGTATCTGCTTCTGACCTAAGGTAACGGATTTTCGTTTATCAAATGCTGGGTAAAGCAACTCCCGAAACTTCTCCAAGAAGAAAGTCCATTCCTCCTCATTCAAGTCAGCCAGCTTCACAAAGCTCACACTCGCAGGAATCTGCTCATTTGCACTCCTATGCCCAGATGAGGTAGTAAGATAGCCATTTTCTTGTTTTGTTCCAGAAAACTTTGAAATCTTCTGGCTCTTGTCAACTAGGCTGATATCTTTAAGTGACATTGAAAGTTTTGAAATGGATGGGTTCCTTTCAATAGCTTTGAAAGCAAAAAACCCCTCCAGCTCTGCTTCTCCTTCACTTTCCTCGTCTTCCTCAAAGCATTCCTCCAGCTTTGAAAGTGGAAATCGGCTATTCACAAATCCATTTCCAAATTGGAATGGTGCTCTAGTCATAAAATCATCTGTAGACATTTTGGGGGTTAAGTCTGATTCTTGTTCCTCACAGTCAATATCAAACTGGAACTCTGCATCTCCCACATTGGACTTAGGAGATGAGACCCCCCTCTCTGCTATCAACCTCCTAGCATCGAGACAAACAACCTCTAGCTCACTAGGTTCCTCATCTCCAGCCCGGAATTCTCTACTCATCATCTCACCAATTTCAGCAAGACAGAGACCAGAAGCCGCAGCTTCCTTAAGGAAAATTGTGCAGAGTACCAGAACCCGTAGACAAGCCTCTCGTATCATGGGGAGTTCCCTTCGCAGCATCTCACAGTCCTTAAGAGGATCTAGCTTTTCTATATACACCAGTTCATCATCAGAGAACGGAATTGAAGCCTGAGGCCAATGAATCCACTCAAAGTATGGATCCTCCAAATTTTCAGGCAAGCAAAGGCCATGATCAATAGGAATGAGTTCCACCTGACCAAACCTCCCAATACCATCAAGCTTCTGCACTAAAAGGTTTCCTGCATGCCTGTCTGTGTTAAATATCCGTACATCAAGTATCCCTATGCGGTGCACAGCAGAAACAGGGAAGCTTGAGGTTCCGTGATCACTAGCATCAAAATCATGTGGTATAAACTGCTGGAAAGATGCAATCTTGCTAACCAGATTCTTCCCATGAGGCTTATGTCCATTCACACCATCATTGACATTGAAGACTGAATGAGTAATCTTCACCAGTGCCGTCGGAGGCACATTTGCAAAATGTCCATAGTCCAAAAGGTAAGCCACAACTTCCCTGAAACCTGTCTCCCCTACCCGAACCGAACGTTTCAAACCTGGTTGTCCAAGGGCTTTCCCAACAAAGCCTTTAGGATTATTTGGTGCAAAAGGTTCTTCATCTGTTGGCTTCACAATTGCAACACTCTCACCTCTATTATTCCTAAAGTAGTAGGCACCCCCTAGACCACTATGAACAGGAAGTGGATCAACACCAATCTTAATTGCCTTAACAATTTCCTTCACCAAAACTTTTAACACATCAAAGCTATCAGAATGTCCCAGTATCTCAATAGGACCACTTCTATCTCTATGCCAAAGATCACTTCCACTAGGCGAAAGACATGGAGTAGAGGAGCTTCTGTGTAGATAGTTACGTGTTAGGAGAAGTGGAGAATCATTCCGAATGGCACTAAGATCATTCTTCAACTCCATATCCCCAAAAGTCAGCAAGCTTTGCTCCGTAGGAAAATTAAGGGCAACCTGCAACCTTCTTTTAACGATATGAGCATTGTCACTGCGATCCAACTCCATGTCCAAGACACAACCTGTCTCTGTTTGCACAAAAACCCGTCTCCTCCCAGCAGGTTGTCTCCGTTCCATTCCAGTGTTCCTAGGATATTCCCCTCTAAGAGGGCTTTTAAAAACTGCCACAGCCATCTGAGTTTGAATTATGCAACATGAAAAGTCAAGAAAAACAATCACAGCTTTCCTGGAAGCCGAAGGCAGAGACAACAGCAGAAGAGAGCTCCTTCCCCTCCAAGAAGACCCAAACTCCAAAGCCAATCGCAAATGAACAAGAAAAACTCCAATTCACCAGCAATCATCAATCAATAAAACCACAACTAAAAACCCCAACCAACAACACAAAAGAGTAAAGAAAAAGAACCCAATCGACAGATTCAGCAGACCAATATGAAAATCTATCCTTATACCACATTGAACAAGCCATCTTCAGCAGCCATAAACAGTTGAAAACCCCATAAAACCTGTACAAAAGACCAAGATTTGAATCAAAAACCTGATTTTGACTTAGCACATTAGAAAATTACTATCATTATATATACCCAAAATCCCCTAAATGTTTAGGACTTTGAAAAACTACTGCAAAGCTAGCTAATTTAAGTAGCAGTTACCAAAGTTAATGCATTCATCAAAACCAAAACAACCAGATTCCCACATCCAAAAACAGAGTAAAATCAATCCATTTCTTCAATACTCAAAAGATCTACTACAAGACAAGTAAGCTACTAACATGAATATCAGCTTCAAACGCATTCATATCAGCAACCGATCCAAGAAACTTCCACAGTAAATTTTTTCTTACTATAATTTCTTTTAAGAAATTAAAGAAAAAGAACTGACAATTTAAAAGAAAACAAAACGCCTAAAAAAACCAGACATTGAATCTTCAACGTTCCATGTAAAACCCGACACTGAACCTAGAAAAAACCAGTTATGACTTACGTCTTCGGGACAATGAACTTACCAGATGTCGAGATCTGAAGAAAAGTTAAAAAGAAATCTCCATTACCCAACTCGTCGATTATATTTAACTTCGAAAAAAAAAAGAAACAAATAAAATCCTGAGTTGATTTTAGAATCGGAATTGGCGAGTTGAATGAAGAAAATGAATCAGAGGAAATGTTTACGGATGCAAGGAACCGTCCGGGTTGACTCAGTTGTCTAACACAGGAAAGCTTCCCTCTTTCTATTTCTTTTCCATTTTTCCCTTCCAGCTCTGTCTCTCCTTCCTCGAAGAAACGTTCTTTAACTCAGTTGCCGTACCTTTCCTTTAATGGGTTAAACAACTAACCCTAGTTAATCCTGTTACTCTACTCTCTGTCTCTGTCTCTCTCTTGCTTTTTTTTTTTTTCCTATTTTGGGTTTTTTGCGCCTTCAGTTTTGTTAATGGCAATGGAAGGATCCAGAAAGACGAATTTGGACCGTTGGATGGAGGAAAAGGGTGGAGGAAGAGTGATTGGACCGTTGGATGGGTTTTGTCACTGGGGTTTTATACGTGGCGCTGACATGGAGATACTGGATTAGATGCTGACGTGGTGGCGTCACCGTCTTTCCAGGCGGTTCTCGCCAATGGCCCTTTTTTACGAATTTTTCTTCGCCGACTTGATCGGCGATATAAAGTACTCAATGCGTTGAAAAGACGGAAATATCCTTGTGCTAAAGCTGAGACTTGGGAGTGAAAAAATTTATTTAAAATAAAAAATTTATTTAAAATTTTAAAATATTATACTATATAAATATTTTTTTATTCCACTCAAATTAAATTTAAATATTAAATATTTAATAAATTTATATAATTTTTAGATTGAAATATAAAAGTTTCAATCAAAATAAATTATATATTTTTATTAATTTTTATATATTTTTAAATTTTTATAAAATAAAAATAATTATTTTATATATAAATTTATTTAAATATATTAAAATTTTTATTTAAATAATATATAAAAATTTAAAATTTAAAAATTAATAAATTGAATCGAATGATAAAATTTAATTATAATGAATCGATTTCAAAGAAAAGATCCTTTAAATTCAAATAAAATTTTAAAAATTTATAATATTAAATATTATAAAAAAAAATTCGAACCAATTCGACTTTTATATCAGCCCTTATTATGTTGCTCTGACAGGGCCCAAAATTGATTTATTTTATGTAGGCTTGTTGTTCTCAATTTCATCAACAAGGCCCAATTTAAGTAAATCTCACTGGAAATCCATGAACTCACCCACATAACGTCTCTTTCCCCACTTCCTCGACAAAAAAAAGAACAGCTATAGAGACGGAAACTAGTTCAACTACACTGCCGTTCTCGCCGGGAACCAACCAACTAATCAAGAAAACTCCATATGTTTCCTTTCCACTTCTTATCCAATTCGTTCCCTTTTTTCAATCTTTACCTTTGGGGACTTTTGTAGTATTTTTGTTTTTGTTTGTGTCATCTGGAGAAGGAAAATAAATGAGAGCGGGAAAGGGTAGTCAAGAGGAGGAAGAGTACGAGGAAGAAGAGCTTGGTTCCAAAGAACAAGGGCCTTCTTCTAATCAAACTATGTCTTTCAACGCCAATAACAACACCAACAAAGGTATATTAGATTGGATCACCCCAGATCTCTCTTTTCCTTTTCTTCCTCATTATTTGTACATTTCTAGATAATTGTTTCTTAAAGGGTACTTTTCTTATTCTTTTGTTGAATTTTGATTCTGGGTTTTTTTTGTTCCTGACTCCTGTCCTGGATTTGTTATATACATATATATATATATATATATATATATATATATTGCTGGCGGTGTGGAAGCAGATGGGAAACACAGTGATAAGGCTAACGCTATGCGATCAAAACACTCTGTCACGGAGCAGAGGAGGAGGAGTAAGATTAATGAAAGGTAACTTCTTTTCTTTTCTTCCAGTTTCAATGTCATCTCTTATTATTTCATTTTATTTTGGAAAGTGGAAGTTTTTAGTCATACCCTTTAATTAATTCTATGTTTATCTGGTTAATCTCCCGGTAATTGCATAAACCATTCATTGTAATGGCTTGGGATAGTTTGAGTCTAAGAACGTTTAGAACTTTATTAGCTTAGGTTTACTTTTGTTGTGGAAATATTGATGATTGAAAAGGAAGTGGACTGTGTAACTAACTGATCGTTTAATGAATGGATGATGATTCTACTGAACATTTGTTGAAGAGTTCTCTTTTTGTGTAAAGCTATTTGATTGTGTTAGGAACTGTAGTTGCAGATGAATTGGTTTAAAATAATGGTTAAGTTTAGTTTATAAAATGTTTTACTTGAATTGGCGCCAGAAATTAAGATGTTATGGGTTATGTGATGGTGGGATATAATAGGGGACCGGAAAATGTTTTCTTGTTACTTTGCTAGCACTGAATTAAGTGCTTGTTGTGCGTAAAAAGCTTGGAAACAAAATTTAAAAGAGATTGTGAATTTATGATGCTTGCTTTTGTTCATGAATACTAATACTGATAAGTTTTCTGATGCCTTTAGATTTCAAATACTGAGAGAGCTAATACCAAACATTGATCAAAAGAGAGATACAGCTTCATTCCTGCTAGAGGTATGTCATGAATCTGGAAATGAAAACTGTCATATATGGTATGTATCTATTTACCTTTTGAGAAGATTCTGCTTGAAAATTGTTGATTGAATCAATGTTCTTTTGCAGGTGATAGAGTATGTCCAATATTTACAGGAGAAGGTTAAAAAATATGAGGGTTCATACCAGGGATGGAGTTCTGAGCCCATAAAATTAACGCCATGGGTATGTTCTTGTACTGAATTCTTCCTATCTATGAGGTTTAGCCGTTAATTTGCAGTCTAAAAAGACTTGTTGTGATGATTTTTGTATATCCTCTTCATTAAGCTATTGGGTATTCTATGATTCTGTTTTCTTTTAATTATTATTTCTGATGGAAATTCAGTTTATGTAGGCTTGTTAATGATGTGCATGATATTTTACTGGGCTTATTACTGTTTTCTTTGATATGCATAAAATCTTGGGAGAAGCATTGCTTAAGCAATGTTTTTTTGGTCATTGAAGCAATTTTTTTTTTTAAGTAATGAGATAATATTCTTGTTTGATATCAATGTATTCTAGTCCTTGTATGATTCCTGTTAAATAAATTTCTGGCTGTGGCACTGCTAGAATAGTTGCCATGATTCAGCGCTTGGTATTACTTATTTTCAAGGTGTTAATTGCTTGTATTAGTAAGTTACATATTCTTGAAGAATGCATCTGTGCATGGTGCCTGCTTATTTGTGGTATTAGACTTCTGATTAATAATTTACTTTGTCCTTACTTGAATAGAGAAATAGTCACTGGCGTGTTCAGAGTTTTGTTGGTCACCAACAAGACATTCAAAATGGTTCTGGCCCAGGGTCAACATTTGCCTTGAAGTTTGATGAGAATAACATCAATATCAACCCCACAATGATCACAAGTGCACAGAATCCAGTAGAATCTGATCCTATCAGGGACACTACATCCAAAGCTTTGGATCAGCAATCTGAGTTGTCAAATAGGGGAATGCCTCTGCCAATCAGAGGTGATAATGTGCTAGCACATCCCGTTACGACACCAATCTCTGAGGCTCAATCAACTGAGTGCCTTGTCAGCAATGATACATTGAACCAACAGGAAGATCTGACTATTGAAGGCGGAACAATTAGCATCTCTAGTGTCTACTCGCAAGGGTGGGTATATCTTCTTTTGCTTATTCGGTCCTGAAAGTGTATGGTGCATCAATTACATGGTTAGCTACTGTTGTTTATGGAACTTTCCCCTCGCACCTTTTACATCACTGCCCCTTGTTTTGAATAAATTGTGAATTGTTCTGATGTTTTACATCATTACACTTCTTCATTTCTCTTTGAAGGAGTGCGAGGAATTGTTCTGATGTTTATTATTTACTTGTTCTTCTGATACCCTTTTTTTGCTTTTGTTTTTTGAGGGCTGAGGTTGTTGTGTTTGTGCTAGTGATCTGTTTTCTTGGATACCTTAAGCGTTTTCTATTTGGTAGTGGTTCCAGCTGAATTTAGTTTTAATATTTGAAAGCTCAAGCATGTAATAAGTCTCAAGCTTTGTCAATGCCACTTATTTTTGTCCGGTATTTTTGGACTTTGTCAGGCTATGTTATAAGCTGTCTACTTCTGTGGATTTAATTTTTACACTTATTGAATGCATCTTATTTGCCATTGAGGATGCTTAAATTGTTTGATGGGGAATGGAGATGGTGGCTTCTTCTTCTAATACTTCTCAGTTCCTTAAGGCCTGCTATAATACTTTACTGCTGAAACAAAATTCCTTTAGATTTAGGGTGCCGAACTATAAGTTGATAACGTTTATGGATTTTGATGTGGACCAGGTTATTGGACTCTCTGACACAAGCTCTGCAGAGCGCGGGCTTGGACCTGTCACAAGCCAACATCTCGGTTCAGATTGATCTTGGAAAGCATGCTAACAGAGGGCTAACATCAGGAACATCTGCTAAGGTACGACTGAAATAAAGAAAGATCTTGGTCTCCAATTGTTGGTTGGTCCTGTTATAGGTTTTATTGTTCCATGTTCTTTGTTAAACCTCGGGTTGGCAGCCCAACATGTCCCCGACGAGTTCCGACCCGACGCAATCTCATAAGGGCTTTTTTTTTTTTTTTTTAAATCGGATTTCAGGTCAGGTTGGATATAGGAAAAAGTCGGGGTCGGGTCGGAGTCTTGTTTTAGGTAAACCCAACCTGATCTGACCCAATATATATATAATTATTTTTTAATTAATTAATTATATTTATATATTTATGTAATTTTATATTTATATTAAAAATAATATTTTATTAATTTCGAATCGAATCGGGTTGGATTCAGGGTGAGCAAAAACCCGCCCCAAACCGACCCGTTGCCATCCCTTGGTAAACCTTTATAACTATCTTACATATATTTTCATCCCTGATTCTAATATTGTGTCACGTGGATACTGCCATGTAAGCATCATTCATTGCCATATCAGATATGATTCTTATTCTTGCTATGTAAGCATCATTCATTTGCCATGTCAAATGTTATTCTTCTTTGACTATGGATGAATGTACTTTGACTATTCATGAATTTATGATATTCATAAACTCAATTAATTGTGAATAAATGTACTTTTCGTGTCATTTAAATTTTGAGGATAGATTCATATTTACTATTAATTAATAATGAATCAAATCCAAATTGAATGAATCTAATTATTCACGAATTTAATCATTCATGAAGCTATGATATTCATGAATCCAATTAATTGTGGTGTTTAATATAATTTAAGTTTAACATATTTATTAAATAGCATAAATACGCATGAATCAAATTAACGCATTAGATCTGTAACAACGCCCGGAATATGACCTAGTTTTAACAAAATTAGTTAACATACACTAGATCTTGTCTAAAGTTGTTCTGGATCTTTACTTGTTTACAATATTTTTATAGGAGCCACAGAATTCCCCCAATCAGGCAATGACCCATCTTAGAGATGTGAGTAATGTAGAGGATTTTGATCATGCTCGAAAGCGGCTAAAGAAATAAGATTGGCAATGGTGTTTCTTGAAATTTCATTTTTACTCAGTATTCCTTTTTTCTTTCTGTTTCGTTTCAGTTTCATTTGGTTATTGTATATGCTATGGTGTTGGTTGCCTTTTTTGTCCTAGCATCAATTGTATTTGTGGTAAGAGCAGTTCCCCAGATTTCTGTCCAGGGGATGTCAATGCTTACCTGTATCATCGCGGATGTATCATACATATCGGTTTATACATATATATATATATATAGCAAATCCTCTTGATGTCCATTTCTTGCAGAACAGACTCATTGTTTCATTTGTCTTGATTTTTTTTTCAATTTTGTGACGGAAATTTGATGACTTTTTATTTGAATAGTTCAAAGGTGAGCTAAAATGTGTGAAACAAGATTAGAAACACAGAAAACACAAGATAAACAGACACAAATATAAAACCACAGGTTAGTGGTTGATCAACAAATGGTGGCAGACATTCTTGAGGATTAGAATAGAAAAAATCTCAGATTATAATGTAGCACTTATTGGTGGTTGATTAACAAATGGTGGCAAACATTCTTGTGGATTAGAATAGAAAAAATCTTCATATCTGGGATAATCAGGAATCTCCCTTCTTCTGGCTGGTTTCCCTGTAAGATTTTCATGAGTTTTTTTGACCAGTAGAGCAAATTCATCCCAGCTCAGCTTTCCTTTCTTGTAGTCATCGATCAGGCTGACTAGAATCGCTTTGTTCAGAACAATTGTTGTCTTGAATCCCATGTATCTGAGAAAAAAAAAAAGTTGAATGCCCATGTTCATATCAAATAATTACTAATTTTCCTCCAAGTATTGCTTTTTATTTGTATTTTTAATTTCCCGTTGCTTTAAATGTTTTGGAGACAGAAGAGTGCTAAGAACACTGGTAGGAATGAAAATTTGTTAAGAACATAAGTAATTTGAGTACCTACGATGGCCTTCAACGGCTCTGGCCATGTTTCCTCCGTATGTAGGAATGAAAATATCACTTTCAATTGCAACAATGTAATCCAATGCTGCCATTTTATCTGAATGATTTAAGAAGGGCCTAAGCTCCCGGGGTTCCAATACAAGCTCTTTCCTCACCTATTTCACATTTCACATAATCAAAATTACTAGCCGGTCAAAATTAATCTAACAGTTTTTTCAAGAGATAATATCACGAATTATCTTTAAATTATAGTAAAATATTTAATTTAATATCTAAATTTTAAAAATCTTTAATGTAACATTTGAATTATAAATTTGTTAACTAATTTGATACTTAGAGGATTATTTGTCAACCACACGTAATTATTTGAAATTAACAAATTTATAATTTAAGTATTATATTAAATATTTTTAAAATTCAAGTATTATAATAAATATTTCACTATAATTTAAGGATTATTCGTTCGTGATATTAACTATTTAAAAAAAAATTATATTTAACTTACTATATTTGGATAAGCCATTAGTAGGTTTGCCATTCTCTTTTCTTCATTGTATATTTTTCCAGCAGCAATATAGATTGTGGTATTTCTATCAATACCTAATGCTTGCAATATAAGAACAGTTTCCTCAGGAGTTAAAGGGCAATAACCACGTTCTCTCCTCCTTCTAGCATCTATTGGTTTATGCTTCCAACCATCATAAGAGTACCTGATCAATCCAAAATTTATTAGATTTTGTTCATGGCAAGCATACCCTACTGGCTTTTGAGCCCGTCTGCCGTTGCAATCTTGATTGCGATAGTCAAATTTGATCATAAATAATGCCACTGCAATTGTTTTTAATCACAATCACAAAACCAAACTGGTTCTTCGTATAGCCATTCGATCGAAGAAACAAAAAAACTTAAGGATAAATAGAACTATAATTGATTGATTCTCACCTCATTTCAGTTACCTCTTTAATCTCTTGCTTGGTTAAACCTTGAATACAACCTGTAAATGCCACCATGTCTTTTTCATACCTAAGATGAAGAACCAAGAATGGACCCTTCTGCCTCAGGAGACTAACAATTTTTCTACCAGTTTCCTCAATTGGCTGAGTGAATCTCAATGCTTCATAATTTACTCTACATCGAAGCTTTTGGACTTCATCTGGTAGCCCATTGTTGGCTAGCCTAGCGTCAGTTAGTGGGAATTGCAAAATTCCATGCCTTTGTATGCGAAGAAGAGCCTGCAAATCAAACAAGCATGTGAATTACTGCTACGTATAGCTGTTAAATATTTGAAATATTTATGCTTGATGAAAAAGAGAGCTAACGGTTTGTTTATGCGGTCTGAGATATCATTTAACATGTTCAAAATTCAAAACTCAACATTTATAATTCTTTTCTAAAGAAGCTAATTTACTTTTAGAACTAGGGTGTCTAAAGACACCTTAAAAAAAATTTCCTGGACACCTTTAAAATTTTTTCATTGACACCCATGAAATATGAGATTTTAAAAGAAAATTTATTTTCCTTGGACATCTTGGAAAATTTTCCATTGATGCCTTTTTTCGTCAACAATTGGTAAATTCATCAAAGTTTTTTATATATTCAATAAGTGGACACACCCGAAAAAAAATCTTGGATCTGCTATTGCCTTCCTTTATCTTTAGGTTGCGACTTCTTTTATAAAATAATAAAATAAAAACTAACCCTTTCATAGTAATATCTCAAGCTGGCAAAACTTATTGGAACCATAGAATAATATGACTCTGACTCCTCTCTTCTCTTTAGCTCTGAAGGAAGCTCCTCTAATATGCGAACCTCATCTCTTAGAGATGTAATGAAATGATTCAGGTCAAATATATCTGCAAATGTGCTGCCATATAATCAAGAATTAATGCTTGTTCAGTAGCTAGCTAATTAATTATCATCTGCAAAACATATTAAACAAAAACATTAGATTCATCATTCTTGTTACACTTAGGCTTACATTTGAGAACGTGTTGAGAGTTTTCTCACCGTGTTGAAACTTATCGTTTTATGATTGGATCGAAGTTAAATTTTAAGATAATTAATTAATTTAATCTAAACTCTTGGCATATATTATGCAAGACAATATACAACTAGTCTGCCCTAGTGAATGGGATTTTGAAGAGAAATAGGATTATATATGGATATACATATATACATTTCGTAAAGGGACAAGGATCGACGATTTTTATTACAAAAAAAAAAAAAAGAAATAGATTCGAACTTGATTCATTGAAAAATGAGATATGTGTATCTTGAAATTTTTTTTTTCTAAACCAAGATCAACATATGATGAAATCATTATTATTGGATCCAAGGAGAAAAAATTAAAAAAAAAAAAAGCTCACCTATTATCATTCCAGTAAGTTCCATTATCAAATAGAGGAACAATAAGGGTGACATTCATATACCTTGCAACGACAACCATGTCTGCAATCTGTCAAGCTCAAATAACAGTTAATAGCATTATCGGAAATTGTTGAAATTTTATTGATTAAAACCCTAAATCCTAAAAATTAATTACGAAGATTACTCACAGCAAGTCGTCGTTGATTCAATCCTCCATTGGCTATAACGATTAGGTATCCATTGTTCTTATAAACCCCTGTAGCGACCATCCATGATAACCACTTCAGTGTCAATAACCCACATTTTAGTTTTTTTCATAAGTGAAAAAAAACATGTCAATTTGTACGATCTTGATTAATCTAAATTCAAGATCAATTCCATTTTGGTTTTTCCATGGAGTAAATTACGTGGAGCTTTCAATTTCCCAACCCATGCAGAAAGAAAGTGCAATTATGGAGATTGGAGACAGCATCACCATCTATAGTCTTGTACGTAGACAGCTAAAAACTCAGACAAAGCACATGCATCATAAACAAAACCCTCACTTAAAACAGTGCAGACTTGCAACTGGGAGATATTATTCGAAATCTCGTGATTTCATCTTATAAATTAAAGATCTCTCACAAGTTTAAACATAAATTTCAATTTATATATTATAATAGATCTTTAAAATATCTCAATATATGATTAAAATATCATAAATTTTTTCGTTAAAATTTGACATTCTATCGAAACCTCAAGCCCAACACAAAGTACATAAAAAAATATAAAATTACATAACTAAAATCACATAAAATATTGAGATTTTAGAAGTAATTCTCATCGTGTAACACTTAACTCTCGTCTGACTGATAATCTTACTCTAATATCATTTGTTAAGACCCGCACTCAACTTACGAAATATTATTTACTTTGATATGAAAATCTTATGATTTTGTCTCATAAAAGATAATTTGTAAATTTGAGTTTAGATCTCAACTTATTTATTATAGTAATCTTCAAAATATCTCACTACGAGATTAGGTATCACAAAAACAACAAATATTCAAACAACCCTTCAAAATAATATTCCAAAATATAAATTTACTAGGTATAATTTATTTTTTGAAAGGGTTGGAATAAGAGTTTATGTTTGATGCACTCTAAATGTTATATCTAGATGTTATATATTATTCATGAATCACATATCGATAATTTATAAAAAAATTAATTTTAAAATTTTAAAAAAATAAAAAATAAATATAAATCTATATATAAACTAATAAGTTTTGTTTTTTAGGATGAAACTTTTTAATCTAAAATAGTTAAATACTCATTTTAAAATCTAATAGTATTTTAAAAAAAAGTTTATAAAAAAAAGCAATGTTTTGTTTTAAGCAATCAACCAGAATTTTAGTTTCTTAATTTTGATTAATTGAGAAATTTTGATCATAAAAATAAAGACCAAGGTAAAACCAAACTGACACAAATCAAAATCATGGTCTAAACAAAAAGCAGCAAAGTAAAATCAACAAAAGCTATCAATTTTTCTTTCTTTATGTAAATTATTTATAGTTATTTTCTATAGGTTAATATGTGTATTAAAAGAAATATTTTCATTCTATATTTTTGTGCCCTTCCTAATTTTTCTTGATTAGTAATTTTCTATAGCCTCAAAACTTCATGAATAAAAAATCAATAGAAAATCTCGCCAACAAAAAATGCCATAATAAACAAAAAAATTGTATTATTATTAATTAATCTTCTATCAAGAAGAGATGTTAGTCAAACCCTGCAATAGTAATGCAAGAATCACCCAAAATTAAGGTAAATTGTTTGAAAAATAAAAGAAAAGAAGGGAATTTTTTATCAAATCTTTCTTTGTTTTTATCCTAATCATGGCAAACAATCAAACATATGAAATGATCACTCACTTTCTGGTGGCAATGCATCATAAAATGAAGACTTTGACAAGGTATTTTCATCGTTGACTAGTGTTGCCAGCTGCAGCCCCCAGACCCAGAATAGGGTTACCAAGATCAAGGCCACGGCTGCCCAGAACTTGATAGCAGCTAAGTAAGGTTGAGGCTTTGAGTTCGCAGCCATAATCTCCTGATTTCTAGCTTTGATGCCTTGACTAATATCCTTACAATCCGTCACCTCCTCCTTTTCTGAAACAAATTGTTATCATAACTTACCTTGATTCGTTGATCAAATCTTCGAGGCACACGTAGACACATATATTTATGCAAATAATTTTTTAGAATTATTGATATTTTCTATTTAAATATCACGTAATATAAAGTTATATAGATACTTAAACAATATAAGTAAAATTATAATAAAAACAAAAAAAATAAAATGTTAAGAAAAACAACAATATGGATATTTGAGTTATTGCATACTCAATCTTGATATGGAATTTGGGTTAGAAGATGAATGGCTATTGATATATCTAACGAAATGGGTTGCTGTGAAAGCCATGGCTGACATACTGCAGCCTATAGTTATCTCATGCAAGCCACGAGGTTAAGTTTCAATTTCTCGTCACCGTCCGGATAAGACAAAGCCAGCTTTATTATTTTGTGTTTTTCGTTTTGCTATAAATGTTCCACTTGCTCTTTATGTAATTATGTATTTACCTTGATCAGCAGAAAAACATGCTTTAGGGGCCTGTGAGAATTGAAAATAACATGTTCATGCCTGGACACAAAATAATTCACATCATTCTTTTGTTTACATATAAGATGGTCTATGACAAAAAATTCAAGAAAGTATTTTGCTTAATTTTGGGCTTTAATGTCCATTATATATAATGAATCATTGCATTTTTTAGTAATTTACATTTTATGTACCGTTAATGTATAAATATTATACAGTGTCAATAAATTATATAATGATATCTCGATCATAAAAAATTAATTTTAAAATTTTAAAAATTCTAAAATGTAAATGCACTTAATCTTAAAAATATATTTAAAATTAATTTTTATAAAGTATCATTATGTAAATCACTGATAAGATATAGCATTTACACACTAACAATCATTTAATATAAATTATTTTAATTTGTCAAATTTTGAAAATACGAAAAAAAAATAAGACTCCTTCCATCCTATATAAACAATAAAAAACAGGTATTGATTATTGAATTAAATTATCGAATATACATGATCATTCTTTTTTAATTTTGAATATCTTTATCTATTAAAGTATATAAGTAAAAATCAATTTATACAAAAAAATCTTACATTATATAAGTTAATCTCTTATATATATATATATATATATATATATTTATAGACTTTGTTACTTGGATTTGAGAATGAGAATCGTATTTTTAAAATTTTAAGTTTTACCGTATATTTGGAAGGTTAATTTTTAAACGAATTCATTCAATATTTGGAACACTAATATTTCAAAAAATATAAAAAAATCAACAGTGTATAGCATATAATTGTACTTAAAAAACTTGTCATAAGCATTAATTTTAAATTGATTTTATATTTGATATATTATTAATATATATATTTCATACATTATCAATTAAATAATAAAATTTATTAATAAAATAAATTAAATTATAACACTTCATTAATGAATAAATTATTTTAATTTATGTATATTTAATTTTAAAAATTAATATTTACTTATTAATAAATTATTATCATATAATTTATTAATAATATATAAATTTTATATATTAATAATATATTAAATATAAATTTTAATTTTAATTATAATTGTTTTCTTGGGTTGGGACAATATTAATTGTTGTTGTATTTATTACATCGTACCTGGATGAAAGGAACGGATATAAAATCCAGACCTCCTCATTTGTGGATTTCGTATGGTCTCCCATCAGATCGTGAGAGCCAAAGGTGCTTACCTATCCACCCAACCATTGGCCCTACCTGTCATTCCCCTCTCTCCTTCAAATCCCTGTGTGGTACATGATGTGAAATATTTTAAGTGTACAGTTATAATATATTTAAGAATTTATTTACAGGTTTATTAATTTTATTGAAAATGATGTTTAAAAAAAATTTTAAGTTGTCTAAGAAAAATTTTTTTCAATCTTTCAGAGTATCCGTGAACTCCATAATTATCTGCTTTTCGAATGGAGGTGGATGAACAATGCTATTTGTGATAACAAGGAAGAGAATCCAGGGATCACTTGTTTTTTGAATGTGGGTTTACAAAAATTATCTGGTAAGGAATATTTCAAAATGCAAGATTAGAAGAAAAGTGGAGGATAAAGATGTAAATGATACATTAATATTCATAAATTATTTGGATTTAGTTCGAATAAAATTTGAATTTAATTTGATTATTATCAAGTCGAATTTGAATTTGATTAATATGACTTATTGATCTAGTTGAGTTTGAATATTTTTATATCTGATTTAAGTAACTCGTGAACTTAATCTAATTTTTATATTTTAATATATTTTTTATTTTTTTAATTAATAAAATATCTCAAACTCGAATTTAAATACAAATAATCAAATTTTTATCAAATATAAAAATTAAATTTATTTTTACATATTAATTGAACTTAATCAAATGAACTCGAGTAATTTAATTTTTATTTTGAGTCGAGTTTGAACTATAAAAAAAAAAAATTAATAGAATTCGAATTGAATTTTAAATATTAAATTTTGAATCAAATTTAAACTTAAATTTATTATTATTTTGATTCAAACTCGATTGATTACATTTTTAATTAAAAATTAAGCTGTTGAATTACGATGAATATTTAATAAAATAAAAGGGAAAGCATTGATCTCGATAATCTTGTGTATTACATGGAAAGCCTGCATCTATCAGATATGGAGAGAAAGTAGCTGCTGACCGTATAAGAAGGAAGAGAAAGCAAAGGAGTAAGTAACTTATGCGGTCAAGCAAGCTCTCAAAAACTGGCGGCCTGCATTCGATGGTTGCTGACTGTTGATTAAGGGATTATGTGTAACTTAGAATATAAATAATCAGTAACGGATTTTGACATATATTTTTAAGGGATTAATTATATTATACTTTTTTTTTTGTAAGATTCTATAACATATTATATACTGATAAAAAAATAATCAAGCACAAAATATTTGTAATCGTACCGTAAAGAATTTTGCTATCATTAGATGCATAAAAAATTTTAGCTTGTATAAAAATAATAATAAATACCCTAATTTTACATTTAAATCTACTTTTGTTTGACAAACTCATTAGCTCAAACCCTAATCTCTCCTAACTCATAAGTACATCAACAAATACTTTTTTTCATATTTCTCAATAAAAAAAATAATTAGACAAGTGTAAATTTGAAAATGCTATAAAATAAGACAAGTTAGCAATTTGTGAAACATGAGGAAACCCATCAAAAGAAACCTTCTTTATCTAATTCATAAGTTTTTATTCCTTTAAACATGTAAAAATGTTATACAATTAATATTCAAACATATGAGATCAATTTTTTTTCTGTCATTAGTTACTTGATTGAAACATATTGATAATATATCATACATTCAAATATATCTGATGATTTATGTATTTATATCATATAAAATATTAAAATTTATACAAAAATTATTTATCATAATTTATATTGACACAAAAATATGAAATATTTTTTAATTTTGTTAAATTTATATATAATTATTGTTAAAATTTTAAATCATATTATTATTTTATTTTATTTTATTTTTATATCATATTTATATTATATCATTATATTATATTTTTAATTATTAGATCTATATTCTAACATTGTCCTTAAACTTGTTATATTCATTGTTCAAAAATGAGAAAAACATTTAAGTGTTTTACATGAGCAATGAAATGTTTCCTTTTCTGATGTGGACAACATAATTGCTGCATTGGGACCGTGATATTCAATCATTCATTAATTATTTTCCTTTGTCAATATTTTTATTAGGGGACTATCAAAAATGGAAAAAAAAAATTGTTTTACATATGCAATGAAATGTTTCCTTTTCTGATGTGGACAATATAATTGCTGCATTTGAGACCGCGATATTCCATTATTCATTAATTATTTTCCTGTGTCAACATTTTTATTTGGGTACTATCGCAACCCAATTAGAATGGGATGGGATCGTTGATTCGATTGATTGAATTAATGAATTGGTGTTGAAATCAATCTAATTTTATTATTATATCAATTTTATAATTAAATAATTATAAATTGACGGTTTACATAATAAATTAATAAATCAGATGATTTTTTTTAAAATTAGATTAGGTTAATACAAATTAATAAATTTAGATAAAATATTAAAAAAAACTCTTTAAGTATTTAAAATAATATAATTAAGCCATATACTATTATTTCATCTAAATAAATCCATCAACTCTTATTTTTTACTATCAAAACTCTTGTATATGTTAATATATTTTGAGACATATAAATAATGATATTGTAAAAAAAATTTATACATATGTAAAAATAAGTAATTTTTTAAAAAAATATGATTTGACAAAAATTCTATTAATTGATACCATAATTAAATATAATTATAAAAATAATAATATATAAAATTAATAAAAAAATGAAATGTTAATAAAAATGATTAATTATTTAACCATGATCGAAAATAATTAATAAAAAAATGTATATATGTAAAATTAATAAAAAATCTATATTCATATAAAAAAATATAAAAATGATTTTAATATCTTTTTTACTAATTTTCATATAAATATAAATATTTCCTTTTTATTAATTTTATATATAGATATTTCCTTTTTATTACATAAAGATTAATTATTATATATTAATAAATAATATTTATATTTAATAAATAAAAATAATTATTATTATTTACAATTATTTATTAGTTATTATTCATTATATTTATTAAAATATAAATATTATTTCTAACTGTTAAAATACAAAATATAATTTTAATATAATGTTAAGTAATTTGATTTTTAACTAATTGTTTTATAAATTTTATATTTTAAATTATATCTTAAAATTTATAGTTTCATGGTTGAACTATTAAACTATAACTTGAGTTAAAAGTTGAATTTTTAAAATAATTGTATTTTTTATAATATTTTTTATTGAATTGATAATTGACCTAATTGACTCGATGGTTGAATCATTAACCTGATAACCCAAAACCTTGAA